TAAATTTAAAGTTTAAATAAACGAAAAAATATTTAAAGAATTTTATAGCTCTTAATGTATTAATAGTAAAACTATCTTAGAAAAAATAATTTGTTTGACTACTCAGAGAATACTGACCAAAGTGAAATTATAAGCTAAAAATAGTTACGAAATAATAAAACTATATCTCTTGAATAAAGTGATTTAGACAATTATTTTGAATATTTAAAGCGATTGATATGAATATATTTATTAACAATTTTTATACAATTAATTATCAAATATTTCTACTACACTATATTGAACAAAATATGAAAATAAAATTCAAGCAAGTAAAGTTATCTATTTCATGAAAATATCAGATATTAATCTAACGGTAGTTTGATAAATTTGCCGTTTATAAAATTCAATAGTTTTTCATTGATATTTAATTGCGAAGTTATACTTTGCCCAACTTTGGACGCACGAGTCTAATCATAAGTCTAATCATAAATTGATATACAGGGTCTGTCATGCAATCGGGATTGGTTATTCTTCTTAACCAAAAGGTCATTATTCTTCTTAACTTCAATCCTTTTCCATGATAGGTATTTTTATTAAAAAATAGTATATTTGTATATTTTGCGTTGTATTAATGCACTTATGCGAGAAAGTTATGTAAGAAAATTGATTCTCTTACAGCATTCAACTTTATCCTCTGCAACTTCTCATCTATAGCTAATTTAAGGAGATAATACTCCTAATTGCATGCTAGACACTGTATTTTATGTTGAATGTTAAAAAATGGTTGAAAGTAACACTAGGCTACTGTGGGTTAATATAATCTTATTTCGAGAATAACACAGCCTCGTGTCTATTAAAAAGAAAAGTATCTTGACAGGAAACGTCCATACATCTCAAGGAGGAAGAGAACAGTCGGTAGACTAATTGTGAAGAAAATGCCTATAATAAATTCCTATTTCTACATTTACATATATGTATGCATATGTATCGTCTTCATATAGCACAGATGTAGTTTTGTATCGTTATCAAGAAGTGTTCTAATAACTCAGTCAACCAAATTTGCTCCTACCAAATACATGTAAAACGCTATATAATGCACTTTGCGCGAAAATTTATGTGAATTTGGTGCCCAGGCTCTGCTTAAAGCCTGTTTAAAGTAAGCAGGTCAGTCATACTCGTGTGGCAGATGTGGCAGCGTTATGAGGTTTGGCCTGGATTTGGTCTGTATTTGGCATGAACACGGCGTTGGTACCAAATCCGTACGATCTGGGGAAATAGGTGGCTCGGTATTTGGCACACACGCGTATTGTCAAATCCAGGACAAATTGCTTACTGGGAACTTTGATATGATACATTTAAAATTTCACTTTGCGTGTTAATCTAACTGTTTAACATTTTAATACATTCATGATTAGTGTCTCCAATGAAACCAGAAACAATTATACACACATTATACATAACAATACAAAAAATTGTATTGTTATTTTTTCCCTATACCCCTGTGCTTTTGTATTGTACACTTTACATTATTTAACAACTTAATACATTTCAATTCGATATGAATACTTCAGATATAGTATCACACTAAATGAAAGTATACATACTATACATGTTGCAACATTTCAAAGTTATTTTATATATTTTTATTTTAACAAAGATTCTTCATTAAATTGTCTGAAACATGGAGTGTTGAAAGATTGAAACTCGAAAAGTTTACTATATGCATTTCTTTGCACTTAGATCCGTTGCCTATGTATCTCTATCTGATATGCTATCATAATTCCTCCATGAGATCAATGAGGTACAAGATTTGAAGTGATGAAAAAGAGACTTCGTATTGTAAAATGCCGTCCAATAGAAGTTACGTGACATATGTTACGTGCGGAATTCTCGTACTGGGTAAAAAGAGGCCGTCCGGGACGTGATATAAGAAATCCTAAGCGAAGTCGACTGTGCCTCACATTGTCTCTGTATTATCTGAGACACGCACCACAAACTCATCATGAAGGGAAATTGAGGTAGTGTGTTTCTTTATGAGTCTGTCTGCTAAGGTCATCGGTAGGGTTGCTGCAGACTAATCCTATCTACTTAGGATAAAAGATACTGGTTTCTAAATCGTAGTTTACTGTTAGAAATATGTTGAATGAGCACTTGCGAGGAACAGATTGATCTTACTATCTATTCGAAAAGTATGGAACTGTGGCGAATTAACGTCCAGGAACATAGGACATACTATGCGAATTAATGGATATACTCGTAGAATCTTTGCTGACTTAACTTAATTATCGAACGAAAATTGGTTGTTTGTATAAACGTATTTATACATATATTTTACAATAAGATTTCGTTCAATACATTTCGGAAATGAGAGTAAGTAATTTACTAATTTGCAAAGAACTATCTAATAAATCCTCCATCTCATTTTAAGAAATATTCTCAGTTCACAGTTCTTGCAGTTCATTGATTTGCGATTACATGATCATTGAAATGACGACCTACTGTCACGAACGTACATGGAATTTGATACCTTGAAGAACAATTCCATAAAGTAAAATCGATATAAATATTTATTTCCTCTGCTAATCATTTTACTTGGTAAGAAGAAAAATAAAGACTATGTTAGCTCTTATTAGCCCTTCTATCATTTATATTTTATACACATAATTGCTCCAGCAAATAGAAGCATAAAATCTGTAGTCGAAAGTTGTTCCAGTATCCAAACATGTGTATACGTGTTTAAATAATCGTAGTATATTTCTTTAAAATAATGTGGAACTATTATTCTCGAAACTCTTCTATATGAAAATTACTATTTTCAAATACCGTGTAAAAAAGGCTCTGAATCAAACGAAGAACTATGTCACTAGTTATAGGTTTTGTGAGGTTGGAAAGAAATGCAAGTATAAGCTGATTAGTTCAGGTATAATTTGTTCAATTGGCTTTTATATTCTTTCATTCTAATATACAGAATGAACTGTATTCAGACATGTATCCGTAGTTGCAAAACTTTTCAGTTACGTTACGTAAGAGGTAGTAGATAAAACGAGACTTAATGTTCCACGAAGATCAACGTAGTTAACGAATTGAGAAAATGACGAATTGCAAAAAGTAATTTATAATGGAGGGATTATAGCAAAACCATCCTTAAGAAAGTATTTGCTAGAACTCGGTTGTAAATGAAAGTGTGATAGCAAAGTATTTATGTTGTCAAGTTATATGACGATTAGAACGTGTAAATACGGTGAACTGGAGAAACGGCTGATTACAATTTTCTTCTATGTTTGATATGTTATTGTTTTTCCTTTTGGTACGAACTATTTTACCAAAGTCCAACAAAGCAAGGATAATCAGTAGATTTTCACTTACATTTCTCATGTAAGATATATATAATACATGTATTTATATATTTTATTTATGTCTTGTCGATGGACGTTTACGCATAAGTGTATTTTCAATGTTTAATAAATCGTCTTTATGCATACTTCATTCTCTCATTGATTTAAGCATATTTCGGTATATGCAATTATTAATTCTAAAATAGCAAAACGTGTGACAATGCCTTTATTTAACCCTCGCAGGACGAACATGAGTCACTCGTGGAAAAACATCACAGACTTTGGAATTTGTTTACACTTGCTTTTGGCATGGGTCACAAAATGACCCAGCTTCGGCCTCCACAAGATCCGTCTTCCAAGGGTTAATAGACAATAAGCGTCGATAATATTTAACGGATTCAGTAATGTCACTTTCAGCGAGAAGAAAGCTCATTACATTGTTTGATTCATTTGACGGGATATCAGTTGACGTTGTTACGAGTTATAACAAATTAAAGATGGCAAAAATCACAGTCTTATTACGATTTTGACCAAAAACTGTAAGAAATCTGTACGCTCCCTCATTCGGTCGGAGCCGAATATTGTCGTGTATTATTATACATCCTGATCGACAGGCTGAATGGTATAGCATTTACATCTTTCTTGCAAAATGATCTGCCGGAACTTTTGGATAATGTTGCGTTGAAGATCCGGCAGAACATGTGGTTTCAAATGGATTACTTGAAGTTTTTATTCAACTTATGTATTTCTTTTGTAAACATTGTTCCAGAACAAGGTGCAACATCGAGACACTGATCGGGCGAATACACGGTGCCGTTGCAAAAATTACGGTAGACACGTGTATAAGAACAAATCTTGCATCGCGCCAACTGGTTTCTCCAGGTCAATGGAAGCAACTTTGAACAATTTATTATACCATAGTTCTTATAATTTTATCGGCCCTTTTCAGGGCCACTCCATTTTATAAAAATAAACACCCTCAACCCCTCTACAGGATACCTCTACGATTAATTACCTCTGTCTGATTAAGTGATCAGTGTTTAGTGACAGTGCAATCAAAGTGAACTTTATGTTATTTTTCCCAACGACTCGAATTTTCTTTACACATATATTTTTCGTTAACAGATATATTTATTTTCTATATGTAAGGTTAAATTGTATGTAAGTAAGATAAAGTATGTAAGTTAATGTATGATAGATAACGTATGTAAAATAATAGATATGAATTAATCAATTGTTTCTTTTATTGTTTTATATACACGTTTATAAAAACAAACAAAAAATTATTCAACTCTCGACATTTTTAACATTACTCCTCCCTTAAGTGATAACAAGAACGCCCGGCTCTCAGACTTGAATGGAATCGTGGTCTTCTCGCAGACTTCGACCTTGTGATTACGAAGGATGGAAATAAGTCCAACCTTGGTCTGGTAAAATGCAAAACGTGCTCCTGAAAGAATATCACGAAATGTGTTTTCGCTATATTTACACTAATTACACGAATAAATAACGTGTAATTAACCGTATTACAGTAGTAATTTAATCGAATAAAATATTTTAATCACTATGTGTATCTTTTGAAATAAACTCAAAAACTGAATTATGTTCGCCATATTCTCCAGACATTGTGTCATCGGATTATGATTTATTTCAAACACTATAACAGTTTTCGAAGAAGTTTCACAATATCGAATCACACAGAAGATGTCGCAGAAGACATTTGTGGAGACTAGAACTTACCGATGCAATTTCTGGGTCCATCACCAAAAGCCAAGAAGCTCATAGGATGCCTGGTTGAAATACCATTATTGGTAAACCGTTCAGGATCAAATACCTCAGGTTTTGTGTAAATATCGGGATCGTTATGGATTCCATATACTGGTATCCATATCCTCGTGTCTTTAGGGATTGTGATTTTCGTGCCCTTAAAAGTGTAGTTCGTATTCACCTGTCTCATTAGTATCGGCAGTAACGGGTGCTTCCTTAGCGTTTCTATATAAAAGAATATAATCTATTAATAATTGCGACATTGCCGAAATTGCAGCGTTCTTTCATTGTTTGAACTCGGGGTCGCCCGCACGTAACAGCGGGCGGTCCAACTTCTGTGTCCGCAAAACTAGGTGCCGCAAAATTAGTAATTCTGTTGCACCTTCGCATGAGGATTGTATTGATTATATCGTGTTCTGTGTAACTTATTATACAACTATTCTATAGTGCGAGAAATACTTGCCATGAAACACTGCATCCAAATACTTCAATTCTTTGACTTGGTCGTATGTTAAATTTTTGCCCTCTCTCGCGTTTTTTTCGAAATTTTCTCGAATTTCCTTACGTAATTTGTCTTGTATATCTGGATGTAGTGCTAGTTCATAAAGTGCATGTCCTATTGTTGACGATGACGTTTCAAATCCTCCTAAGAAGAACACAAATGCTTGCGAGGTCAGCAACGAATCCGTCAACTCTATAATGTGACACAATAAATGAATTATTCTGTTACAACATACAGTAGTGCATAAAAGGATAAGGCGAAAAGAAAGAAAGAAATAGTTAAAATGCACCGTGGTTGCAAATCATCATCAAAACCATACGTTTCACGTATCGCAATGCATCAGAAGATATACGATTGAACTTCGATTCGTCCGAAAATAATACTTTTTACTAATCCTGACTTGTTCAATATTTGGTAATCTTAATTTGAAGGTACATTAACTAGCATATACAAAGAAGCTAGTAGTTAACGTGTTAATTGCAGAGCAAAACAACTTACCAATGTTTTCCAACTGACTCGGATTCCTCCTCAACTCCAAGAGCATATTGATGAAATCAGGTCTGACCACATTTTTTTCTTCCCTGTATTTCATTGTGTCCATAACCACCTTCGTAAAGAAATCAGTGACCTTTGTCGGCTGCAGTAAATGACCTAGTCGTGCGTATATCGCCGGGAAGAATTGCCTTGTCGTATCTCTAATAACCTGTTTCAAGGACGGAGTGAAGATTTCTCTGCCCATCCTGCGAAATTCACTATCCTCGTCCGCGATGGCGTTCATGTCGATTCCAAAGGCACAGGTACCGATCACATCAGTTGTAAATTTCGCTGCTATTTCTCGGCATTCCACAGGCTCTCCCTTTTTTGTCACTGTGTCCAAGTATTTCTCCAAATGTTTTCCACATTCTATCACGAGAGGGAACATTTCTTTAAGTTTACCAGACGTAAACACTGGCGAGAGTCTTGCTCTCAGTGGACGCCATATTTCAGGCTCCAAATTGAAGAGATGCTCTCCTAAACGATCCACCTGCGAATACGTTATTCTTGATTTAATTTTCAATCGAAGAAAATCATTAAATTTTATTATCGTTACTAGCTGAGAGCTAAGGAAGTCGTGCCTGACTGAACACTCGTTTGGTTTTTGTGAGAGTTTATTAGTTGTAGACGAGCCGACGTTTGTTTCACCGCCGACACTTACAAGGGATGGAAGGTATAGTTATTATGTCAACCTCGTGACTTGAAAAAATTGTTTCTTTCGAGAGGCAAACGTGCACCATAGTGAAAATAATAATAGCAACTGGAATCTCAAAAGTTGTGAATTGAATAAATGAGATTCAGTATGAAGTGGTTATGTGGAACCTAACCGGTTTCCCGAAAATACATGGGAGCTCAGAATTAACTACCTAAGCTTGATTCTAAATCCGGTATGCATGCGTATATGCAGTGTTTCAAAATTATGGTACTTTCGGGAAATGAGGAGTTCCTGAGGTCATTTGAAGTAAGCATATCTCTTGAAGGAGAGTTCTTTCATAGGAAAAATTTGTTTCTCTTTGAGTTGTAAATTTATACATAAAGTTTGTCGATTTAACCCGAGAACATCCTGTAGTTTGAACTTCAACATTTAAAGGGACACCGTCACGAGTAAAAAATAAACGTTCAATATTTGGTAATTATAAGGAATAGGGTCTTCAACACAGATTTCAATGACCTTGAAATATGTTGTTAAGGTCATCATTTTGAACAACACATTCCTATCTACGTTACTGCAAAATAAAATACATTTTTACAGTAAAATACTGCGTAAAATACATTTCAAATATAAGATACAATATTTTCTGCTTACACAGTTTCAGCACTATTTACATAGAGACCTCGTTGGGGTTGTTCTTAAAGCGTGGCGACAAAAATTCTTGAAATATTCAAGACTGGTTGTACTATTATTTACACATCAGTACATTGTCCGATAAAAAGGTACATCACTGGAACTTGTTTATGCACCATATACGTAGTAACAAATTTACTATAACAGTTTCACATTCGATCAAGTGTTTCATTTCGACGTACCAGTATTCTTCAAAAGGTTAAATAATGCAACTGAATTTAAAGATTAATTATTAAAAAGAAGTTTCGTTATTTCCAGAGTGTGATCAACTTTCATATAATTCATTGGGACGTCAATCAGATATATTTATCCATAAATACCTTAGGAAACAAGGGTAGTCCTCGAGACGCAAACAAGGAGAAGTCTCCGATGAGGACATCTTTGACTAGATCGAGATCATTAACAACCAAAATTGGTGCACTGCCTCCGTAGATTCCGAACACTGGCTCGTTTTTGAATTCGTTGTACATTTTCCTTGTGGTATCGCTCATAGACGCTTGTGCCAATGTAGTCGATTTAAGATTTCCAAATATCAGCAAGGGCCGTGGTCCGGCAACGCCAAGCTTTTTCCAATAGTTGAAGGATGAAGTGAGGTAGTAGTAAAATGCTAGGAGCAACACCAGGGCTCCGCATAATATTTGGAAATAGTCCACCATGGTGGCTCAATTATCTGAAACGAGACAAAAATTAGAATCGATTATTAACGTGTAAATTATCACATCAGTGCTCGTGAAAGTCACACCGAACTTGGATAACTTATTTCGAAATATAAGAACAGAGAACGCAAGTGTTATTACAGCAATCATTTCTATAACCCTCTTACTTCTTGCAGAATCTAACAAATTTTCGCTTTTATATTATAACAAAATAATAGAAAATGGTAGACTATAATATGAAATGCTATTTCAAGTTTGATCGGAGATCGTGTCAGTCATTTATGACTTTCACTTCTCAAAAATCGCCTCCTATTTTCGTGAATGGGGTACAAAACATAGTCCAACTCAAAAATTTACTAAACAAAATAGCTCAAACCAATTACATGTTAAAAGTATCGGATAATGGCCAAATTAAAATCCAGTCAAAAAATATAGAGAAATATCTGCCAATCCTTTGTGCACTAAAAGAAAAATAGACTCAGTATTATATCTATCGAAGGAAACAAAATAGTAATTTCAGAGTAGTTCTTAAAGGGATCCCCCTAACAGTAGACATGGAAGAAATAAGGGAACAATCGAAAGAAAAGGAACACATTGCAAAAATCGTATCAAACCTAAAGCATGCGAAAACGAAACACGATATTTATAACAGTCGATTTACATAGAGTAATCGGGTTGAACACGTGTTCGGGATGAAGACAACACTTTGAGAGTGCGAGATAGAGGCGGAACGAGACAATAACGGGCGTACGTGGCACGCGTTTGCCAGACCAAGAGGATCGACATGTAGAGTGTACGAACACGAACAGCGTGTGAATGCCGAACCGATAAAAAAAGAGCGAAGACCACGTCAGGGTGACTCGCAAACTCGCGAGAGTGAGATCGAAACCTACGGTCACGCGGCAGAGCGAGAACCGCGGTTTTTCAATTGGCTAGGAACGCTTAATCGCACGCAACGTTGAGATCGTAAGCAAGCCGAACGAGTGAGAGAATCAGGTTAATTCAGCGCAAGTGGTCATTAGACTTTTCCGCGAGATCCGCACAGTTCTCGTCGCTTCAAGGTGGTGCCGCGACTGACTTTGGTCTTGTAAGAAAAACCTACCGGAAAATCCGTGGTTGCTGGCCTTATCACCAACAGGGCCTTGAAACGAACTAGCGGGAGTATGATTGGCGTATTGTCTTGTGTGAAGTGCTAAAACTTACGGACTATTGAAAAGACGTGCTATCCGTAAGCTCTCTCGAACTCGACTGACCTGCTGAATTGCTGCGGCCAACAATTCGCGTTTTGTTACTCTTCGGCCCTGCGTGGAGTCGCGTGATCGCTTCGACACCTGAAACACAATATACGACATTCATGCATAATTATTATATTAAGTTGATAATAATGCAAAAGTAGTTTTAAATTCTTTAAATATTTTCACGGTTTGATATTCCCTGTACTTATTCTTGTCATATATAGTAAGTTAAATGTTGAAGTGCAGCGCCGGACAAAATGATAGGATGTTTAATATTATTGCGTTGATTCGATTTATAAAGAAACAACAACACAAATCGCTCATGAAGCGGGAGTACTGGCTAACGATCGGACTATACGACGTATTTTATACAAAAAAAGTAGACATATTAAACGCAAAAAATTGAAAAGAAGACCCCTCTTAAGTAAAGAACATAAGGAAATCCGTTTAAAGTTTCCTCGAGGACATGTTCTATGGGAAAAAAGATGGAGGTGTAAGAGTTTTCGTGATGAAAACAAGTTTAATTTGGACGACCCTGATGGCTGGAATTACCATTTTCGTGACCTGAGATAAGAAGAACAATGTTTGAGTCGTCGACAAATGGGGGGAAGTAGTTTTTTGGTATGGGCCGGCACTGGCTATCGTGGCAAACCTGATATCAACTTGTTATCAGGTCGCATAAACAGCCAAAACTATATAGAACTGATAGAAAATGAGTTTAGTAAACATGCGATCCGAAAAAATTGTAGGCAATAATTATGTGTTCCAGCAGGATAATGCTACAATACACACTGCGAAGACAGTTTGTACATTTTCAGTTCTAAAAATGTGACAGTTTATATACACGAATGGAGAGCAATACGAAGATGTCAAAGAATTCAGAGAGAGTATTACTAAAAATTGTTGTCTCTTAAAACAAAAACGCGTTAAGAAATTATATAAACCAATTACTGAGCGTTTATTAAACGTTGTGGAAAAAAATGTGGTCTCACTAAATATTAATATACCGCCGTATAAAATATTTTTTTAATTAATTGCATTTTTGTAGTAACATCCTATCAATTTGCCTGATTAAAATCAATACATTTTTACATTGTTTTCCTTAGGTATCTTTGTGCATGAGATACAGAAATTAATTCAGATTTATTCTGTTCACCTCTAAGGACGTCTACATAGTAATTTAGCAGAGTCGCTAAAATGATGATGTCCACAAATAGAGTAATAACAAAGCAATTCATGTTCTCTAAATTTATTTTCACGAATATCTATACTAACCGAAAGAGTTGTTCCGATGCAGAATCAGCTTTGTCACTGACCGTGAGACATACTACTGCTTATTGACACAACACTTATCAGAATGAAACAATTTTGTTCATAAAGCGAGAGACATCGCGGAACGATAACAATTTGTCTTATCTCATGTACTATCATTCTGATATAGGTACTTGAACCGGGATGGTGGTAACATTGTAAAGTCATCATGAAATGTACGAATGATTTAAGTACCAGGAAGCGACAGCAATGATAACTTCTAAAAATGAGAATGACATAAGCAACGTATCAATATGACAAACTTTGTCAGATATTTCGTAAACATGGGATTATGAAGATTAATTGCAATGATATTCCTAGTACACAATAACCGAAGGAGGAGCCTCTACCCGCGAACTGGTCTCCTGCTCCGCCAAAGTAAACAACGCGAGGCGCAAGGGGAATTACGTCTTCTATCCAAGGCGTAAATCTGAAAAGTAGGAGGGATCAGGTAGAGCGAACGGGTGATTCCGCTTCGCCCTCACATCGATTAAACTTTTTTAAACAACTATTATTTATTTTTAAACAATTATTATTTATTTTTAAACAATTATTATTTATTTTTAAACAACTATTATTTATTTTTAAACAATTATTATTTATTTTTAAACAATTATTATTTATTTTTAAGCAATACGGTCAGCGTGGAAAGTATTATATTTGTACACTAATGGATTTCGAACAATGCTTCGTCAGATCAGGGTGTCCCAAAATTATCGTATTTCCAAGAAATGAGGTGTGTGGTCCAGAGAGGGTGGTTCGGTCCACTTTATCAGTAGTTCTGTCCGCTATTCTAAACGCATCAGTGATGCCGCAGTTCTGTGACGTCACAAAGCTTAACTTACCTCTGATTTGTAACTTTGAATCAACGTTTGTAATAGATATTAATAAACTGAGCTCAAATTAGCGTCGTCTCGTGTATAATAACCATGATGGATGTAACATGGTTCTTGTTATGCCTTGTTATTATAAATAGAAATAAAAAATTATTCAGCTTTTGACATTTTTAACACGACTCCTCCCTTAAGTGACAGCAAGAACGATCGGTTGTCAGACTTGAACGGAATCGTCGTCTTCTCGCAGACTTCGACCTTGTGATTGCGGAGAATGGAAATAAGACCAACCTTGCTCTGGTAAAATGCAAAACGAGCTCCTGAAAGCAAAGTGCAATGTGTTTACAGTAACAGTAAATAACGTGTCATAAACCGTATCGCTTAACTCTCTCTCTCTCTCTCTCCTTCTCTCTCTCTCCCTCTCTCTCCCCCCCTCTCTCTCTCCCTCTCTCTCTCTCTCTCTCCCTCTCTCTCTCTCTCTCTAATTTCATTGAATAAAATATTTTAAAATATATACAACGTTTCTGTGTCAATACTTGTATCTTTCGAAATAAGCTTAAGAATTGAATTACATACACCACATTCTCCGAACATGTACAATCCAATTATGACATTTTTCGAACACTATAAGAGTTTCCAAAAAAATTTGATAATATTGAATCGCACAAAATATATCGCAGAAGACAGTTGTGTACACCCTATACATATTATAACTATGTACCATCGATTTACATTATACTTTACCTATACAATTTCTAGGTCCGTCACCAAAAGGCAAAAAGCTCATAGGATGCCTGGTTGAAATACCATCATTGGTGAATCGTTCAGGATCAAATACCTCAGGTTTTGTGTAAATATCAGGATTGTTATGGATTCCATATACTGGTATCCATATCTTTGTGCCTTTAGGAATTGTGATTTTCGTGCCTTTGAAAGTGTAGTTCGTATTAACCTGTCTCACTAGTATTGGCAATATCGGATGTTTCCTTAGCGTTTCTGTATAAAAGAATATAATTTATTAAAAATGACTAAAGCTCCCGTGGCATCTTTCATAAAGCCCAAATTGTTATTTTCGTTGAAATTTAATTTAACACGTTCCGTGCCGAGCTTTTTTTACTCGAATCTTCACACTTTGATATTTTACTAAAACTTGATGTATTACGTGCAATTATTAATTCTCGTACACATAACAACGTAACAAAAACTTATCAACGCCCATTCTTGCGGTGGAAATTGATTCTTCGGTTCTAAATTTCTTGTAAACAATTTGTTCAGTTCACTAAGTAAACATGCAAGCGTGTACCATCGATGGTACACGTGGCACGGAACGTGTTAAGAATAAATAGATGGTAAAGGTTATTATTTTCTAAACTACTTTGTAAGCAATATTTATTTTCAAGAAGTCGGAGCGACGCCACGTACAACGCGTAAAAACTATTTTATTGCAATCGAAATTCAATGGTCGATTAATTTCAAGAAATGATGATGTGAATTGTTCACCTGGTTCGCGTGATCTGACCCAATTGGGACAGTATTATTATTAGACTCATATTGGACCCAAAACGTCATAAAAAATTTTGATATTCGAATTGACGTCAGTCAACGTGCTCATGGTGACAGATATCTTTCACACATAATTTTCATAGATGATACTTGATAATTATGTAAACAAACCAATAAAATTGGGAGAAAAATACTTGCCTCGAAACACTGCATCCAGATACTTCAATTCTTTGACTTGTTCGTATGTTAAACTTTTACCTTCTCTTGCGTTTTCTTCTAAATTTTCTCGAATTTCCTTACGTAATTTGTCCTGTATGTCTGGCTGTAATGCTAGTTCGTAAAGTGCATGTGCAATTGTTAATGATGACGTATCAAATCCTGCTATGAAGAAGACAAATGCCTGCGAAGTCAGCAACGAATCCGTCAACTCTGTAATGTGACACAATAAATGAATTAATCAGTTCATATATATGGTAGCAGTCAAAAGATCGTGGCCAAAATTATCGAATGCTATAAATATGTATACTTATCCAAATGGAACTCAAAAAATACACAGAGTTTCTTACTAACTGTTACAAATCAATATGTCGAATTAAATGCTAGATTGCGGTGGAAATAATTCTTTTTGAAGGTCATATTATTCAAGATCACAACGTTATCGACGTTTTTCAATGACCTGTAATACCGTGATTTTCACGTAACCTTATATGTACATACAGGGTGTCCCAAAATTATTTTAATTCCCTGCAATGCTTCGGGCCGCGTCCAAAACATGAACACGTTTGCACATGTAAAACATCCGCAATTTTTTACTACATTTCAGTGATAATTTAAAAAGCAATGATGTTGACCCTTATTTTGGAATGTCTGAAGAATATTCAGTCTTTTTTGGACCCGAAATAATAAGTACTATAACTGTGGCAGCCGTTTTAATTTACTCATGTGTAACAAACCCAATGTGTAAATATCATATGAAATTTTTATGCGGCGTGAAGATTAACAAAGTGAAGATTAACAAAAAGTAACCCCGTCAAAGCACGTACGATACTGCTTGCGGACAGAATGAAATGAAAGATTTGCAAACTACTGCAAGTACTGAGTAAAACAACTAACCAACGTTTTCCAACTGACGCGGATTCCTCTTCAGCTCCAGAAGCATATTGATGAAGTCGGGCCTGACCACATTATTTTCTTCTCTGTAATTCATTGTGTCCATAACCACCTTCGTAAAAAAATTAGTGATCTTTGTTGGCTGCACAAAATAACCCACTCGTGCGTATATCGCCGGAAAAAAAAGCCTCGTCATATTTCTAATAGCCTGTTTCAAGGACGGAGTGAAGATTTCTCTGCCCATCCTGCGAAATTCACTATCCTCGTCCGCGATGGCGTTCATGTCGATTCCAAAGGCACAGGTACCGATCACATCAGTTGTAAATTTCGCTGCTATTTCTCGGCATTCCACAGGCCCTCCCTTTTTTGTCACTGTGTCCAAGTATTTTTCCAAATGTTCTCCACATTCTGCTACCAGCGGGAACATGTCTTTAAGTTTACCAGACGTAAACACTGGCGAAAGTCTTGCTCTTAGTGGACGCCATATTTCAGGCTCCAAATTGAAGAGATGCTCTTGCAAACGATCCACCTGCGAATACGTTATTCTCGATTTAATTTATAAATATAATTTATAAATATATATTATATTATATATTATATTTTTATGTTATAGTATACATATTATATTTTTATATTATATTATATATTTTATATGAGGGATTTAGAAGTGTTTATGTATGATATCACTGTGGAAGATATTTTTATACATCACATACGTTGTAACAAATTTACTATAGCAGTTTCACATTCAATCAGATTTTTCATTCCGACGTACTCAATACTCTTAAAAAGGTTAAATAAAACAATTGAATTTGAAAATTAATTGTTAAAAAGGAGTTTTCTCTTTCCCAGATTGATTAGCTTTCATACAATTGATTGGAATGTCATGAATACCTTAGGAAAGAGTTGTAATCCACGAGATGCGAACATGGAGAAGTCTCCAATGAGGACATCTTTGACCAGCTCGAGATCATTAACAACCAATATTGGTGATCTGCCTCCGTAGATTCCGAACACTGGCTCGTTCTTGTATTCGTCGTACATTTTCTTTACGGTATCACTCATAGACGATTGTTCCAACATAGACGATTTAAGATTTCCGAATATCAGAGAGGGCTGTGGTCCGGCAATGCCAAGTTTTTTCCAATACTTGTAGGGCGAAGTGAGATAGTAGTAAACTGCTAGCAGCAACGCCAAGGCGCCGCATAATATTTGGAAATAGTCCACCATCGTGATTCAATTATCTGAAACAAGACAAAAATTAGAATCGATTATTAACGTGTAGATTGTCACATCAGTGCTGATGAAAGTTACACCGAATTGGATAACTTATTTCAAAACATAAGAACAGAACTTATATGTTTACAGTTAAAAATTTGAAGCAAACGAATTAAAAGATCTTGTATATCATTATAGTAATGAGCTGTGGTTATGATATTATCAACAACTTTAACGAAATGTATAATTTCCAAAGTTAAGGTATGAAATTTAATGCGAAAATTTATAATTTTATTAAGTGCAGGTGCTGTTGACTTAACGAGTGGTGGATCCAAACTACAAAATAATTCGCGAAACAGTTGTGCAAAAAACGCGTCGGATAGATTTTTAAATTTTGTTTTTAAAAAGTGACAGTACGTCATGCAGTCACCGAACGAGAATAAATTTCATAAATTATTTTTGCTCATTGTAAAAGAGTAATATTTAAACGTAATATAAGATTGCTTTGGAAGACTGTAATTAAATTTGCTCACAAATATTGAAAGTACACTGCCGAACAAAATAATAGGACGTCTGATGTTTCTAAGTTGATATTGCAGAGAGAGAGAGAGAGAGAAAGAGAGAGAGCGAGAGAGTGTCTAAAATATACACATATATATTTATATTGTACGAAAACGTTACAAATATCAAACGTCCTGTGATTTTGTCCATAAGTGTACTTTTCACATACAATAAATGTACATTATTGCCACCACGAGAAATTTCCTAAAATTGCTGTCTACAAATAGAGTATTAACAAAGCAATTCATGTTCTCTAAATTTCCTTTCACAAATATTTATACTAACCGAAAGAAATGTTTTGATATAGAATCAGCTTTGTCACTGACCGTAAGACGTACTACTCTGTATCCGCTTACTGACACAACACTTGTTATAATGAAACGGATTCGTTAATATATAGAGAGACTTCACGGAACGATAAGAATTTGTCTTATATCATGCACTATCATTCTGATGTAGACGCTTGAACCGGGGTGGTGGTAACATATTGTAAAGTCATCGTGAGCAGCATGAACGATTTAAGTACTACGAAGGGAGGAATGATAATTTCTAAAAATGAGTAAGCAACGGTTGATACGGCGATCTTTGCCAGATATTTCGTAAACATGGAATTATGAAGATTAATTAGATTGATATGCCTACTATTCAATAACCAAAAGATGCGCCCTCTACCCACAAACTGGTCTCCTGTTCCGCCAAAGGAAACAACGCGAGGCGCAAGGAGAATTACGGCTTCTGTCCAGGGCGTGAATTTGAAAAGTGGTAGGAATTACGTGAGTGAACGGGTGATTCCGCTTCGTCTTCACGTCGATTAGTTTGTGCGTAGAGGCCCATCTCTTGGTTATTGGATTATACGGTGAGCAGGGGAGATATTATATTCGTACTCTAATGAATTTCGAGCAATACTTTGTCAGATAATTATACAGGGTGTTCCACAATTATTTTAACAGCCGAAAATGAGGGGTAGCTGAGGTCTTTTGAAGTAACTTTTTCCTTTGCGAAAATGCAATCTGCGGCTTTGTTTACGAGTTATAAACGGAAAACACTGACCAATGAGAGGTGACGGCGCAAAGTTCGAGAGCCCGCAGCACGAGGCTTTGACAGATGGTCGGGACAGACTCGGGCCGCGTTCGAAGTATTGAACAAATCACGAAAAACGCTGTTCACTTTTACTTTAGAACGTCTGAAGAATATTTACTAATTTTTCGGATCCGAAATAGTAAGTAATTTAACCGTGATGGTCGGTTAAATTTTCTATTGTGCATGACGCCCTGTGTGTAACATATGAAATTATTAAGCAAGGTGTAGAGTGAAGATTAACAAAGTACGTAAATGATATTTTAATTTAAATAATTCCGTGTCAAGGTTATGTCAAGGCCGTGTCAAGGTCATTCCAAGGTCATACCAAGCTCGTGCCAAGGTCATACCAAGGTCATGCCAAGGCCATACCAAGGTCATGTCAAGGTTATGTCAAGGTCAACATATGAAATTTTTAAACATGACCTTGGTATGACCTTGACATGACCTTGGCGTGACCTTGGTATGACCTGACATGACCTTGACATAACCTTGGCATAACCTTGACATGACCTTGACATAACCTTGGCATGACCTTCGAGAAAGAAAGAAAAAGGAAAGGGTCATGTAATATTTTCCATTGAGATCATTCACAGACTGTCATTCGCAGTCTGGCAGCATAATCGACATCAGTTAAAGCTTGATGCAAAGAAATATTGTAGGTATGGAAGCAATACCAGCTAAGTATTCTGGATGCTATTGTAATTTGTGGTACATTGTAATAATTTTCTATCTATCGGGTAGTGATATGAGGATTGATAGTCACTGCTCTGAGTGTAATAATCTCTGAAACTGCTTATGTTGACGTGGATGTAAATATCCTCGACGAGCTCGAATTTCGAATCACCATATTATTAGAATGCCGACAACCTAGAAATCTATCGCGATACAATCGTGCAGCTTCCTCATAATTATGTCGATATTCTCCAAGGACCAACTATCTAACCGATCTTGTTGTCAACCTTACTCTTTAATGTAACAGGTACATTTACTTTATGTATATAAGATAATAAATATGAATTAATCAATTGTTTCTTTATTATTATTCCTTGTTATTATAAATAGAAATAAAAAATTATTCAGCTCTTGACATTTTTAACATTACTCCTCCCTTAAGTGCCAGCAACAACGATCGGTTGTCACACTTGAATGGAATCGTCGTCTTCTCGCAGACTTCGACCTTGTGATTACGGAGAATGGAAATCAGACCAACCTTGCTCTGGTAACTTGCAAAACGGGCACCTGAAAGTATAATACAAAATGATTGCACTGTATTTTCACTCCGAGTAAATAACGTGTAATAAACCGTATCGCTGAGCTAATTGAATTGAAAATAAAATTATATATTAAAAATATATAACATTCCTTTGTCAATACTTGTATCTTTCGAAATAAACATAAAAATTGAATTACGTTCGCCATATTCTCCAGAGACATTGTGTCGTCGGATTATGATCTTTTTCTAATACTATAACAGTTTTCAAAAACACTCCATACATATTACAACCTTGTACCATTGATTGTCACTAGACTTACCTATACAATTTCTGGGTCCGTCCCCAAAAGCCAAATAGCTCATAGGATGCCTGGTTAAAATACCGTCATTGGTAAACCGTTCGGGATCAAATACCTTAGGTTTTGTGTAAATATCGGGATCGTGGTGGATTCCATATACTGGTATCCATATCTTTGTGCCTTTGGGAATTGTGATTTTCGTGTCCTTAAAAGTGTAGTTTGTATTAACCTGTCTCAGTAGCATTGGCACTATCGGATGTTTCCTTAACGTCTCTGTATAGAAGAATATAATTTATTAAAAATGACTGAAGCTCCGATGATATCTTTCATAAATCCAATTATAAATGAACGCGAGTGCGAAAACTAAAAGCCTAATTGCTAATTAGGTTGAAATTTAATTTAAGAATAAGTAGATGATAAAGGTTATCATTCTAAATTACTTCGTGTTCGTGTTTGTATATATAAGTGTGTGCAAAAATATCAAAATGACATGAGTTTTGGTAAGATGCATGAACGGAATCTTTTAATTCAGAAGCCTGATCATATTTCCATACTTCTTAACAATGTTGATTATATACATTGAAAAGAAGGTCTGTTGATAATTCTGTTGCACCTTTGCGGAAAGGATTATATCGCGTTCTGTGATAAATTAGTATACAACTACTTTATAGTGAGAAAAATACTTGCCTCGAAACACTGCATCCAGATACTTCAATTCTTTGACTTGTTCGTATGTTAAACTTTTACCTTCTCTTGCGTTTTCTTCTAAATTTTCTCGAATTTCCTTACGTAATTTGTCCTGTATGTCTGGCTGTAATGCTAGTTCGTAAAGTGCATGTGCAATTGTTAATGATGACGTATCAAATCCTGCTATGAAGAAGACAAATGCCTGCGAAGTCAGCAACGAATCCGTCAACTCTGTAATGTGACACAATAAATGAATTAGTCAGTTAATATATATGGTAGCAGTCGAAAGATTGTGGCCAAAATTATCGAATGTTATAAATATGTATATTTATCCAAATGGAACTCAAAATACACAGAGTTTCTTACTAACTGTTACAAATCAATATGTCGAATTATCTACATCGTTAATGACGCACAAAAATGCTAGATTGCGGTGGAAATAATTCTTTTTTAAGGTCATATTATTCAAGATCTCAACGTTATCGACGTTTCTCAATGACGTGTAATACCTTGATTTTCACGTAACCTTATATGTACATACAGGGTATCCCAAAATTATTTTAATTCCCTGCAATGCTCCGAGCCGCGCCGAAAACATGAACACGTTTGCACATGTAAAACTTCCGCAATTTTTTACTACAAGTAAAACAACTAACCAATGTTTTCCAACTGACTCGGATTCCTTTTCAGCTCCAGAAGCATATTGATGAAGTCAGGTCTAACCACATCATTTTCTTCTCTGTAATTCATTGTGCCCATAACTACGTTCGTAAAGAAATCAGTAGCCTTTCTCGGCTGCACTAAATGGCCTAGTCGTGCGTATACCGCCGGGAAAAATAGCCTCGTCGCTTCTCTAATAGTGCCTTTCAAAGACGGAGCGAACAGTTCTCTGCCCATTCGGCGGAATTCGCTATCCTCGTCCGCGATGGCGTTCGTGTCGATTCCAAAGGCACAGGTACCGATCACATCAGTTGTAAATTTCGCTGCTATTTCTCGGCATTCCACAGGCTCCCCCTGTTTTGTCACTGTGTCCAAGTATTTCTCCAAATGTTCTCCACATTCTACTACCAGCGGGAACATGTCTTTAAGTTTACCAGACGTAAACACTGGCGAAAGTCTTGCTCTTAATGGACGCCATATTTCAGGCTCCAACTGGAAGAGATGCTCTTGCAAACGATCCACCTGCGAATACGTTATTCTCAATTTAATTTATAAATATAATTTATAAATATATATTATATTATATATTATATTTTTATGTTATAGTATACATATTATATTTTTATATTATATTATATATTTTATATGAGGGATTTAGAAGTGTTTATGTATGATATCACTGTGGAAGATATTTTTATACATCACATACGTTGTAACAAATTTACTATAGCAGTTTCACATTCAATCAGATTTTTCATTCCGACGTACTCAATACTCTTAAAAAGGTTAAATAAAACAATTGAATTTGAAAATTAATTGTTAAAAAGGAGTTTTCTCTTTCCCAGATTGATTAGCTTTCATACACAATTGATTGGAATGTCATGAATACCTTAGGAAAGACTTGTAATCCACGAGATGGAAACATGGAGAAGTCTCTAATGAGGACATCTTTGACCAAATCGAGATCATTAATAACCAAAATTGGTGTACTGCCTCCGTAGATTCCGAACACTCGCTCATTCTTGTATTCGTCGTACATTTTCTTTACGGTATCACTCATGGACGTTTGTGCCAACGTAGGCGATTTAAGATTTCCGAATATCAGAGAGGGCCGTGGTCCGGCAATGCCAAGTTTTTTCCAATACTTGTAGGGTGAAGTGAGATAGTAGTAAACTGCTAGCAGCAACGCCAGGGCGCTGCATAATATTTGGAAATAGTCCATCATCACGGTTCAATTATCTGAAACAAGACAAAAATTAGATTAAAAACTGTAATTTCTTAAAGCAAAAATGTATTAAAAAATTGTTCAAATCAATTAGCAAACGTTTATTAGATACTGTCTCACAAAAATATGGTCTCATTAAATATTAACATACCGACGAATAAAATATTTTTTTGATTAATTGTATTTTCATAGTAATGTCCTATTATTTTGTCCGATGAAAATCAATACATTTTTCTCTATGTGCATGAGATACAAACTTGAGATTACTTACATTCACCTTTAAAGATATATCTACACAATAATCTAGCAGAGTGAAGCAATAATAGTTATAAAATGTGTGTGTGTGTGTGTGTTCTTCATAAATTATTTTTGTTCATTGTAAGAGAATAATATTTAAACAACGTAAAATATAAGAATGATTTGAAATACCGTAATCATATTGATTATTCTTAAATTGTCATTCAAATTGATTTAATCAAGACAGTTTGTTGTCACTGTAATTAAATTTGCTCACAAATATTGAAAGAACACAGCCGGACAAAATGACATTTTGTTTTGATATTTTCAGTTTGATATTGTAGAGTGTCTAAAATATACGCATACATGTTTATATTGTACGAAACTGTTAAAAATATCAAACGTCCTGTCATTTTGTCCATAAATGTGCATTCAATATTTGTGATAATTATTGATTTTCGAGGTTGTTGCCACCACGAGAAATTTCCTAAAATTGGTGTCTACAAATAGAGTATTAACAAAGCAATTAATGTTTTCTAAATTTATTTTCACAAATATTTATACTAACCGAAAGAGATGTTTTGATATACATAAAATCATCTGTGTCACTGACCGTAAGACGTACTACTCTGTATCCGCTTACTGACACAACACTTGTTATAATGAAACGGATTCGTTAATATATAGAGAGACTTCACGGAACGATAAGAATTTGTCTTATATCATGCACTATCATTCTGATGTAGACGCTTGAACCGGGGTGGTGGTAACATATTGTAAAGTCATCGTGAGCAGCATGAACGATTTAAGTACTACGAAGGGAGGAATGATAATTTCTAAAAATGAGTAAGCAACGGTTGATACGGCGATCTTTGCCAGATATTTCGTAAACATGGAATTATGAAGATTAATTAGATTGATATGCCTACTATTCAATAACCAAAAGATGCGCCCTCTACCCACAAACTGGTCTCCTGTTCCGCCAAAGGAAACAACGCGAGGCGCAAGGAGAATTACGGCTTCTGTCCAGGGCGTGAATTTGAAAAGTGGTAGGAATTACGTGGAGTGAACGGGTGATTCCGCTTCGCCTTCACGTCGATTAGTTTGTGGGTAGAGGCCCATCTTTTGGTTATCGAATTAAACGGTGAGCAGGGGAGATGTTATATTCGTACTCTAATGAATTTCGAGCAATACTTCGTCGGATAATTATATATTGATTATCTTTTTAGAAACAATGAGTATGTACCTATTTTCTCAGGTTTCTAGAATGTTATTAATTTTGGAAGGTTATTTAATTGTTTTACTTGTAAAATTAATAAGAAAAAATACGAAATGTCGATCAGCGACTAAATGCACCCTGGAAAATATTGTTAAGTTTGATAACACTGTCCAATACGCATTTTCTCTTCGAATAACCACTGGATGATTCTTCTAGAGCATCACTTTCCAACACGAATCTGAAACCGAATTACTGTAGTAGTTTCAGTTTTCGAAGGTTTTTGAAAAAAACGATGGATTTTTAGTAAAATCGAAGTTTTGCATGGAAAATATAAACGTTAGAAACGCCATACTGGCCCTTTGTATATTCCGAAGAGAAGAATGTTAGAAAAAATGTTAGGTTCAGCTTTAACGAAAAGGGAGTTATTCAAACGTTATTCACACAGGATGGTTGCCCCAATGAATGCGTCTATCGGCGTATATTACGTATAGCTGCGGTACTGATAAATCAAGACCAGCGACCAGCAGACTACGCGGCGACAAAACGTAGCGCCGTGATCGCGTTGTCGACAAATATTTCCTTGACCTCAATACCACTTCGACACATTTTCTCGATAGTTTCGTTTTTAGAAATGTCTGCAGAATCAGAACCGTGATCAGTTTTTGTGTTAGATAAAGAACTATTTGTAAGTATGTGTAACGTACGGAGAATTTTCGGACGTGTTTTTTCTTACTCCTTTCTGAAGGCGTACGTCAAGCTGGCGCCAGCCGGCGGGTTTCGCTGTGTATATCGTGAGTTAAGTACCTTCGAAGAGGTACGATGGTGAACTTCCTGGAACCGTGTATATAAAATTTTGGGCATATAAAGGGCCCAAATGCGACTAAGAATCGGGCTTAGTTTCAAGTCAGCTACTGACGAAGGAACTCTAGCGAGATTGAGTCTGATTCTCTTTCGAGCAGTTCAACTGAATACGTACATCATTACAAGTTTATAAGCCCCCGCCTACACAGTGCGACGCACTGGGACCGAGATATAGAATCCGCATCACTCCTACCCTTATAGTGGCGCCCCGATGATGAGATAAACATCTACTGACCCATGCAATTCCCCTACCAAAAACTTATCTGATCATAGTTTAAATTTTTTGTTGTGTCGGCGACTAAGTTCCCGCCGTTTTTAAAAATTTCAACATTCCGCGTGTCATTAAATGTTTTTATAATGTTTTAAATCATTCGGAAGAGGACGTTTTGTTCTACCGAAATCTCTATGTTTTGCTTTTTTGTTCGAGTTAATTTTTGTTAATCTTCAGATCATTAAAATGGAACGTCAAGTTAAGAAAAATTACCATTTTCGATACCTCCTTCTTTCTTTCTCCGCTCCAAACAATCGCCAAACAAGCCGTGCGAAGTCGATGCCATCGATTAATGGCACTTACCATACCTCAAAAAGCTTATCATATTTCTGAATTAATATTTGGAATTTGGTAAGTTTCTCTAAAAGAAAACATGGTCTTTGTTTTCAACATTGCGCTTTAATGTGACAGCGACATTTATTTTATGTACATAAGATAATAGATATGAATTAATCAATTGTTTTGGACAACATGTTTACAAACATAAAGAAAAAATTATTCTGCTTTTGACATTTTTAACATTACTCCTCCCTTAAGTGTCAGCAAAAACGCTCGGGCGTCAGACTTGTACGGAATCGTCGTCTTCTCGCAGACTTCGACCTTGTTATTACGGAGAATGGAAATAAGACCAACTTTGCTCTGGTAAATTGCAAAACGAGCTCCTGAAAGTATATCACAAAATTATTGCACTGTGTTTTCACTCGGAGTAAATAAAGTGTAATAAACCGAATCGCCTAACTAATTTAATTAAATAAAATATCTTAAAGTATACAACGTTTTTTTTCAACACTTGCATTTTTCGAAATAAACTTAAAAACTGAATTACATTCACCACATTCTTGGGACATTGTGTCATCGGATTATGATCTCTTTCGAATACTATAACAGTTTTCAAGAAGGTTTGACAATACTGAATCAAACAGAACATATCGCAAAGGACATTTGTGTACACCCATAGCATAACTCTGTACCACTGATTGTCACTATAGTCTTACCTATACAATTTCTGGGACCATCACCAAAAGCCAAGAAGCTCATAGGATGCCTGGTTGAAATACCGTCATTGGTAAACCGTTCCGGATCAAATACCTCAGGTTTTGTGTAAATATCGGGATCGTGGTGGATTCCATATACTGGTATCCATATCTTTGTGCCTTTAGGAATTGTGATTTTCGTGCCCTTAAAAGTGTAGTTTGTATTAACCTCTCTCACTATTAATGGCAATATCGGATATTTCCTTAGCGTCTCTGTATAAAAAAAATATAATTTATTAAAAATGACTGGAGCTCCGATGATATCTTTCATAAATCCAGTTATAAATGAACACGAGTGCGAAAACTAAACTCCTAATTGCTAATTAGGTTGAAATTTAATTTAAGAATAAATAGGTGGTAAATATGGCGTTTACGGCTATGTCATAATGGATTATATTAATTATTATGGATTATATTAACTGGATTATACATAATATGTATAATGGATTATATCGTGTTCTGTGAAAAATTATTATACAACTACTTTATAGTGAGAAAAATGCTTGCCTTGAAACACTGCATCCAGATACTTAAATTCTTTGACTTGTTCGTATGTTAAACTTTTACCTTCTCTCGCGTTCTCGTCTAAGGTTTCTCGAATTTCCTTACGTAATTTGTCCTGCATGTCTGGGTGCAATGCTAGTTCGTAAAGTGCATGCCCTATCGTTGATGATGACGTTTCAAATCCTGCTAAGAAGAAGACGAATGCCTGCGAAGTCAGAAACGAGTCCGTCAACTCTGTAATGAGACACAATCAATGAATTAGTCAGTTATTATATATGGTAGCAGACAAAAGATGGTGACCAAAATAATCGAATGTTATAAATATGTATACTTGCCCAAATGAAACTCAATATACAGAGTTTCATATTAATCGTGTTACAAATTAATATGTCGAACGACAAATCTATTTCGTTAATGATACGCAAAAATGCTAGAGTGTGGTGGAAATAATTTCTTTTTAAGGTCACATTATTCGAGATCTCAAGGTTATCGACTTATATATCATATATCGTTTCAATTGCCTGCAATGAGAGATTCCTGAACCCATTTGAAATAACTTTGTCTTTATCGCAAATACTATCGGCAGCTTTATCTACGTTTTATCATACGTTGAATTCTGTTCGGATGCGAAATTATGTAAGGAAAAGATCGTTTGCGGACATTGACGAGGTTAGTTGTTGTTAATCCACTGTACACTGTACATAAAATTTAAAATGGCTAGCATAATTAAACTGCTTATTATTTCGGGTCCTAAAAATGATTAAATATTGTTCAAATATATTAAAATAAGAGTGAACAGCGTTTTTCTTAAACTTATCGCTGTCACGTAGTAAAAAAATTTTGAAAATATACGCTCTGTGATTTGTTTATTACTTTCAACGCGGCCCGAAGTCTGAGTGTAGTCTCCTCCTTCCGTCGCTCCTCGCTATCGAAGCCATCCCCGCCCGCTCGACCATCTTGCAGCTGCCCAGCTTACTGGGCAAATGACCTCAGGAACCCCACATTTTCCGCATGTGCAAAATTTTGAGACACCATATATATCAACATATTAAACACATAGTACAACAACAATTGTTACTGCATTTGCACCAGGGTACAGTAAATTCTCTCTAATTGACATTCAGATTGTACACAAAAATGGACAATTTGAGAAGAGGAGATACGATTATTCGAGCCACACGACTCATTTTTATACTTTTCAATTGTCAACAATTCTAAAAACGAGGTGCAAGGCTCAATTAATCGTATCTCCTCCTCCCAAATTGACCATTTTTGTGTGCAATCTGAGCGTCAATTAGGGAAAATTTACTGTATTAGGTATAGTTGACAGTATTTGAAGCACAGTAGATAAGGGTTAGTAACTCATTATGTCAGCATGATTAAGGCACAGCAGCTAACTCATGCACTTATTTTTTATTTCGATTAATACCTCAAATTCGTTATAATAGTTCTATATGAAAAAAAATGTTCAGTAACTGGAGAAACGTTAAAATACGATCGAAATTCTTAGAGAAATACGAAAGAAATGAAAGAAAATGCTTTATTCAATGAAACTTGCGAGAGGTTAGTTAAAGTGCACAATAACTAGCACATCGATTTAGACAACTAGTAGATAATACAACAACTTAGATATAAAACAACTCACCAATGTTTTCCAACTGACTCGGATTCTTCTTCAGCTCCAGAAGCATATGAATGAAGTCGGGTCTGACCACATTATTTTTTTCTCTGTAATTCATAGTGTCCATAACCACCTTCGTAAAGAAATCAGTGATCTTTGTCGGCTGCACTAAATCACCTAATCGTACGTATATCGCCGGGAAGAATAGCTTCGTCGTATCTCTGATAACATGTTTCAAACACGGAGTGAACATTTCTCTGCCCATTCGACGAAATTCGCTATCCTCGTCCACGATGGCGTTCATGTCGATTCCAAAGACACAGGTACCGATCACATCGGTTGTATATTTCGCTGCTATTTCTCGGCAATCCACAGGCCCTCCCTTTTCTGTCACGATGTCCAAGTATTTCTCCAACTGTTCTCCACATTGTAGCATCATAGGAAACATTTCTTTAAGTTTACCAGACGTAAACACTGGCGAGAGTCTTGCTCTCAGTGGACGCCATATTTCAGGCTCCAAATGGAAGAGATGCTCTTGCAAACGTTCCACCTGCAAATACGTTATTCTCGATGTAATTTTCAATCCCATAAATAATTTTTAAAACAGTTTATAATTTTCTATTATTCGAGCCTTGCATTTTCGAAATTGTTAACAAATTACGTATTTGCGGCTTTCCGGTTCAACCGCGAACCGCTTTCCGGTTCATTATAGGCTCAGATAAAAAAATTAAAAAGGGGAGTTTTTTTATTTTGTTTTGTCACTGCAAGTAATAACGAAGTTGAAACACAAAAAACAAACCAAGTTTAGTCATTGTCTAGTACATTAGTTCCTCTATCATCTAAAAAAAATTGAAATCGTTTAGTTCAGTCTTAAAAAAATTATTGCGTTTTAAAAGGGGAACGAATATTAATGGGAGTCATTGTATATTTCCTGCATGACATGAATGTTACTAGTGTGAGGTGTTTAGCACCGTTCACATGCGAATCTATACATATACGAAAAGAATATTATATCGGTTATATAGCCGAATTTTTATTTCGCCGCCGGTATGATCTTGACAACCGTATAAAAGTACTATTCAAAATATTGGCAAAAATATTTCCTAATACATAATATTTTCTATTATAATTTCACCATCATAATAATAAATATAAATTACAACGACTTCTGCACATTTAACAGAAACCTAATCTGAAGTGTTCGTAAACACTGACATTAACATCGCTCGTCTTTAGTTTTCGAGATGTTTGCAAAAGCTTTAATTAAATTCAGATTACAAGTACCATCATTTGTATATTATTACGTTGTCCGATAAAAACGTATATCACTGGAACATATTTATATATCTTATACGCAGCAACATATTTACTATAGCAGTTTCACATTCAATCAAATGTTTCATTCTGACGTACCAGTATTCTTAAAAAGGTTAAATAAAAAGAATAAATTCGAAAATTATTTGTCAAAAAAAGTTTCCTGTTTTTCAGATTGATCAGCTTTCATATAATTGATCGTAACGTCGCTCGATGGAATTTACTCATAAATACCTTACGATACAAGGGTAATCCACGAGCTGCGAACAACGAGAAGTCCGCGATGAGGACGTCTTTGATCAGATTGAGATCATTAACAACCAATATTGGTGATCTGCCTCCGTAGATTCCGAACACTGGTTCGTTTTTGTATTTGTCGTACAGTTTCTTTACGGTATCACTCATGGACGTTTGTGCCAACCCTTGCGATCTAAGATTTCCGAATAACAGCGATGGCCGTGGTCCGGCAATGCCAAGCTTTTTCCAATGGTTGTAGGGTGAAGTGAGATAATAGTAAAGTGCTAGCAGCAACACCACGACGCCACATAATATTTGGAAATAGTCCACCATCGTGGTTCAATTATCTGAAACAAGATAAAAGTTCGAATCGATTATTAACGTGTTGATTACCATATCAGTGCTGCTCATCAGTGTACTCATCTTGCATACACTTTGCATATCTTAGCATATAGTCTGCATATTTATTACATAATTTTGACTAAATGTACTAATTTGTCCGCCCTGGACAAATTAAAAACTTCAAAATTTTTAACAATTTAATATGTATGAAAAATTAAAAATATTTTTGAACAAGTCTACGAATAACCACATGATTGCTTAATAAAAGTATATCGAATAGAAAATTTTATAGCTTAAAGTTCATTTCTGCATTACTTGGGATCCTTTTTGTCTGTCCTTTTGTATAACCCTATTTCTACTGGTTACATTTTTCCCTGTTTTTATTAATAACATTTTTTGATTAAATCTAACAAAAACAACCACACATTACCCGTATTCAAAATTCAAACACTGAGACAAGAAAGCATTGTATGTAGCAACCTACTGAATCCATAAAATCGCGTAACTATCCTAAACCCTTAAGGTCGAAGCCCACTAGCACGACGCGCAGAGCTGAACAGCGACGAGTAGCAAATACCGTTGGTTTCGCTGCGCTCCGCGTAAGTTAGACTCATACGAAACCATAGTTACATTTCTTTTCCCTACTCTGTACGTCGCATTAGTAGGCTTCGGCCTATAGTCTGGCAATCTTACAGGTAGTTCAGCGTTATTGCGTCGCGTCAGCTCCTATTGCTTTCTGATATCACGTATCAATTCGCGTGCCAGTTTTTCTCTTACGTTGTTCGTCCAAGGATGGATATTCCTATTTCATTGTTAATATCAAGTTGATCTCGGTCAGTTGCGCTGTTTTATTTTTTTTTCATATCTTATACTAATATTTAGGATATGATTATTGATTGTGGCACAAATCTTGGCTTCGACGGATAGGACTGCCAAAACCACGATACGTGACAACCCACTTGGAAAAGTAAACCTTGATAACAGATTTAAAGATCTTTGTCATGAGTCATGATCCAAAGATCATTGGAACATGGGCCCAAAATTGTAGATATTGACCTTAACATTTTTTTAAATTTAGTATTGGGCTATTTCTTCTTCTCTCTTTCTTTTTCCCTATCTCTCCCACTCCTTCATTCCCATCTCTTCTTCTCTCCTACTCTCTCTCACTCCCTCTCTCCATGTTCCTTATCTTGTTCATCACTATATTTTTCATTGTTTTTCTTGGTCTCTTTTTCGCAATTTTTTCTTAAAAGTTTGTTTTGCGAACCTTCTTATTCACTTCCTTTGTTCATCTTTTCCTGTATTCTGCTCTGAAGGTTTCTCTATAAATGTCACTGCGGATAACCGACCTTTTTTCTTTCTAACTCTATTTAAATTGTTTTCGAAATGAAGATGTACAAAGAAGCTTTTTGTAGCAAGAATACTTCCGAATTGATTCATCAATATTGTGTAGAAGTGTCTCAAGTTTCATTAAGTGTCTATAAATCACGTATGTAATATTACCCTCGACCTTGCCTGCTAATGTTACGATTGTCCCTGATTATACTTTCGTGCTGAACAATTTTATATTAACGAGACACATAATGATATTAGATAACGACAGTACTACCTTCGAAAGGATTAAGTTACGGATTGAAAAAGAAAACAAAAAATAAACAGAACATTTAAATTTCTCTGTTGCTATGAAGGATAAAGGTGTTAAGCTGAGTTCTCACTAGAGCAACTCTTTATTGATGTAGCAGTTCGCATAATTTCAATTACATAGACGTGTTTACATAGACGTGATTACATAGAATTCTCTCATACGCTTTTGAATTTTTCTAAACACTTTTTTTTCTGAAAACAGATAACGCCCTATGCTGTCCCCTTTCCTTATAGAAAGAATGAATAAATAACCATTTCGAAAGCATCTCCACTCATTTTTTACCAAGCCTCAAATGGCAATTTTTTGCAAAACATCAATTTCTCAATTTTAATATGTCTGGATGTGTTTTATCGTCAGCTATACGAGGCAATAAAAAATATGCATTTATATGCAAATTAACATCGATGGCCTTGAAAACTCCGAAAACAATGACCTTGAAAAACACTGTGTGTATCGTATTCGTCTCTTGATACCGGACAGATTTCATATAAGAAAATTTGTTGTAACATTTGAAGAGATATTTAAGTGGATCACCCTGTATATTTATTGGTTTATTCGTACCGACTTTCAAGGAAGATTAAAATGCAACACTTTTATATTGGACCGCTTATTTCGAAAATTATGTAAATTCACTTATAAATCACACGAAAATCATATGTACTGAGTATTAAGATAAGAAAAGTATCGATAAGTTGTAGGTAGGAGATATTTGTATTCTTTATTTTAAACATTGGCATTATTGAAAGTCATAGACATCATAGTCGCATTTACAATTTATCTATATTTTTAATAAACTGGAAGTAAAACATGAATTTGCCAAAATGAATTTACACTACTTTCAAAATAAATGGTTCTCCGATATCAATATAAAACTGTATGTATATCAATTTATCCTAAGCAACCTTTTCTCTAAAGATGGGCAAATATAATTTTATATATATATATAGTAAGAAAACTATTTTTATAAAATCACTACATGTTCATTATGTACTTATATGTATACGTATCCGTAGATCTAAAAATTAACAAGGACCTGACAAAATACCTGATTGAAATAATCCCAGTTTCACAGACTCCTGCGATCCTTCACCTGTGTGCACAATTTCGAATATGAACCATCGTATACACCAAATTCCTAGTCAACTATTGTAATTAATAAGTTACTTTTTACGCGGAGAGAACCCGTACACCGACTGCTACGCACAACACGTAGATAACAACTGACATCTTACTCTTCGTTTCATCATCCAATTTTTTTTGCGTAGGTTGTACCTTGCGAGCAAATATACAAGGTGATCCAAATAAAATGGTACAATTTCCAGCACGAAACTGTAGCAGCTCTCGACTTCATTTTTTCTTTTTAATTAGATGAAGTAACACATTTCTTAACCAAATAAGAATATCCTATTAATTTTTCTTGCTCAAATAACTTTTGTCAAACTTAATATGATTAAACGTTCTAAACAATGTTCGCTTGTTTCTACGCATTTGAAGGGATTTCTGATCTAGAAATTTGAAAAAATCGACTTTTTTAATTGCATTTTCTTATACCATATACTTTTAAAAACGTGTTTACAAAAGAATTTTGATAACTATTTACAACATGTTCCAAGTTTCTAATTTTCGTGAAGTTTAAAGCTACACCAACCAAGTTCTAAAAATTGCGTATTGCTTCATAAATTATTTTCTATGGAAGAGTGTTATGTCAAGGTTATTTTTAATAATATGTATATCTTTCTATGGAAGAGTGTTTATAATTTCAGTAACTGTAAAACAAAAACTGTAAAACCTATCATTTTGGCCGCCTCAGTGTTAAGTATGTTGTATATCTCGATATTCTCAACAAAGAGAATATTTTTTCTTTATAAAAAATTTCTGGAGTAAACTTTCGAAAGAGACCTGTCATTGATTAAAAATATTAGCTTCGGGCATCTAGTAGTTAGTTAGTAGTTAGTTTAGTAGTTTTCAAGATATTAATGAGAATCCTAAGAGCTACTACTGCAATTAATAATGCGTATACCTACGCGTCTATGGCGGCGCACAGGGTTTCAAAGCAGGAAAAAAGTTCCTGTGTTCTAATATTGAGGAAGCAAATTTCTTTATTGCAGATCTATAATAGGATAGACGACTTGTCAAAATCAATGAATATTTTGTCTAAATACTCTTAACTTATTCGAAAAATGTGATATGCAAGTTAGTAATTGCATCACCTTTCAAGCCGGTTTGAGACTAACTGTAAAATTTTGAATGAAATAACTAATAACTAACATATAACAATAAACAAATAAATAATAGATATAATATAATAATAAATTTAAATTATTTATTATTTTTATTCATATTTATATATCACGAAATAATTCAATAAGACAATAATTACCTAAAATTAAAGACGTAGCGATGAAATACGAAGCCAATAACAATATCCACACTTGTTTATGTTCATCAATTATCACACGTGGAGTATGGTACCGGTCAATAACCTTCGGCGGTAGTATCATACACATGTGTGTGAGCGGCCAATAAAGTGTTAATATTATCAAATGTGAGAATCGTTACAATAGATCGCTCGCTTTGCTCGCTCGAAAAATAAACTAACCCAGACCTAACCTAGACCAATTGCACTTACTGGCAAAATTAAAAAATGACACCCTATATATTGAAACCGTGAGATAACATGCGATGTCTCGCGGCGGAGATAACACGGGACTAGTAATATCTGGATAGGCGTCATTCAATGTGCAGCGAAGCTGTATACACTGCTTTTAATGTACAGCATTGACACGCACACAATGGCATAGGCTCCTCGCCATGATCTTCACGTAATCACGTGCATTCCTATACATGTGTCCCAGAGCGGCGAACGGAAACGTTGAAGAAAACGTCACAACACGTACGGAAACGTCGAAGGACCTTGAACGCTTCTGCATCAGTGAAATATCGGTGCGAGTCAAAAATAAATCTGACACAGCACCACATGTCCCGATACTCAGTGTTAAAAGTTTTTCGTGAATATCTTGGAAACTACGATGTCCCGAAGCTAATCTTTTATATTTGTTAATCTTTTATATCCATCACTGATAAGATAAATGTCCTAGTACACTTCCGCCAATGTTGAGCTTTATATTAATGAGAACAACCAATATTTGCGAACACTTAACAATGTTTCTGAGAAGATCTGCCTGCTTCTTAAGCATATAATTAATTTGTATATTTTACATTTTTACATCAAGCATGATATTTGTTAACTCGTTAAAGGATATAAAATTGTGACACACTTCCAGACAAAAAGAGAGCACACGCGTGCTATATTTAATTTCTCCCAATATAATTGTGATCTATTGCGAGTTGATGACGCACGGCTAAGATAGGGGTCGTCGCAAGATCGAATTTAGGTTGCTCGAACGTTGCTCGAATTTATGGATATCTACTGGCGGGGATGTCCATATGTGCCCCGGTTCTACATGGTTCGCCATCGTACCCCTTTGAAGGTACTTGACTCACGATATGCAGAGCGAACTCGCCGGCCGGCGCCAGCCCGGCGTACTCTCAGAAATGAGTAAGAAAAACACGTCGGAAAATTCTCTTTACGTTGCAGGATCAATAATTTTTCCAATTGACACGGTATTCCTTCTAACGAATCAAAAACAATAGCCTGTTCCTAAAATTTTACTTTAATTTATCTAAATTCTTTTCACGTTGCAGGATCAATAATTTTTCCAATTGACACGGTATTCCTTCTAACGAATCAAAAACAATAGCCTGTTCCTAAAATTTTACTTTAATTTATCTAAATTCTTTTCACGTTGCAGGATCAATAATTTTTCCAATTGACACGGTATTCCTTCTAACGAATCAAAAACAATAGCCTGTTCCTAAAATTTTACTTTAATTTATCTAAATTCTTTTCACGTTGCAGGATCAATAATTTTTCCAATTGACACGGTATTCCTTCTAACGAATTAAAAACAATAGTCTGTTCCTAAAATTTAACTTTAATTTATCTAAACAGAAGCGCTATAGCGCTTCTTAATACTCAAACGGTTAATAATAAATAATAATGTTGACACGTGAATGGAATATAAAATAAATTTCAAATAAAATATAATTAAATTGAAATTCTCAAATGAATAAAAAATAATCATTTCTTTCAATAAAAGATAACTACATATAATTTAAAAAAATAATAATTTCATGTAATTTAAAATTAAATAATTTAAGTCATTATCAAAATTGACAACAGTAGGGCTCCAACTCCTTTATCAAAATGTCACTTGTTTTTTGTTTTTGGTCCTCAACGACAAAACTAAAAAGAAATTTCATTACATCGAGTTCATTTCACTTCATTCGTGTTATTTCTCGAGATCTTGCAAGCGGGATTTCTTCTGCATAGTCGGTAGTCTCTGTTCCCTGCTTCTTGAGCCTCGCGATGACGAAGTTATTACCTACATTTTATGAGATAACACCCAGGGTCGCAGATCGGCACTCTTGAACCTTGCATTTGTTGACTTACATACCTACAATTATTGTTTTTTTCCCATTCGCATGTCGGCGCACGTTGGCCCAAGAAAGATATTGTTTCTCAAACATGTAAAATTTACATAACATATGAAATTCCTCGACAATATGAAAAATAAATATTTCTCACGACGTTTCCCGAGTCTTGAGACTCGTATCAAGCTAAAAAATAATATTATTTACGTCACTTTACAACTCTCATGTTTTAACTTTTTTATTTGAGCCTATAACGAAAATTTAAGCAGTACATTCTGTAGATCTCGGTATGTTATATGCATGCTGAAAATTTCATCAAAATACATTAACGCAAAGTCAAGTTAGAAGCATTAAAAGATTTTAAAAACTGCAGTTTTCTCATACTTATCGTCGAAAGTGTCAAAAACCGAGACAAAACTGCGATTTTTGGGATTTTTAATTGTTGACAGCTCATACCAAGATCAACCGATTTCGATGAAATTTTCAACATGCATATAAGTTACCGAGGTCTATAAAACACACTTTTTAAATTTTCGTTATAGGCTCAGATAAAAAAGTTAACACACGAGTTTTCATTCTTTTTTTATCATTCCAAACAATAGGAAAATTAAAAAAAAACATTCTAGAGATAATTTAGTAGACTAGCCCTTTATCATCTAAAACAAATTCAAGTCGTTTAGTCCAGTTCTAAGAAAGTTATTGCGTCTCAAAAGTTCTTCGAATATTAACGGGAGTCAGTTTATGTACTGTTGCGCCGAACTTTTCCCGAGCCTGTTTTACGCGAAACAAGAATCGTCCGATTTTGGGTCTTGTGGATCTTGTGCGTCGTCGTCGATACCACTCGAAATTATTCCTACCTCAACGAGAGATTCGCAATGCCTTAGAAGGCCGACGTTTTGCCTGAATAGATCGGGATGTCCAAGATTCGATGGGAAGATGCGCGCGAGAGATTCCAAGTTGGTCGGTTCGTAGACGGTCATTCGATCCCCCTGCACGTCTCTTACCTCTTCGGCGATTTTCTACTAGTCGGAATCGATCTGGGCACGATGCTCGGCCCTGTTAGGATACAATATTATTCCCTAGATCGATCCCCGATGTTCCAATTGATGTTACAACCTGCGGGATGGTAACGAATCGCTCCCAGGCGTAAGTGTACTCATGTACTCGTGTCGGTTTTCACAATTGCGACTCGCTCTCTACATTCGCGCTAGCCGAGAATAATTAACCGAATCACCGAAATTAAGGAAGTAAAACTCGAGGAAACTCACCAAAATCGTTGTCCCCTGGACTCGCGATTATTTGTCGACCTCTGACCGGTATTCTTCTTCCCTAGATAAAGAAGCTATTGGAGCTGCTCTTGGTCCCCTGGACTCAACACACCCTTGTCAAGTGTGCTACTCAGTGCTATTGTTCGCGACTACGCTATGCCGTGACCTACGTAACAATGTCTTCGATTTTCCGAGGCTCGATTACCAGAAAGCAAAGCGTCTCCCACTCCCATTACGCTCGGTTCGGCACGACACGCTAACCCCGCGCGCACCCTGCGTTAAATAGGGTTGGCCGATTTGATGTGGTCCCCAGGCCCCTATCGATCTCGATCCGGTGCCGTACTCCCTCGGGGTCGAAAATATCCATCACTCGGAGACTCCTCCACCAATCCCATCTCGTGGTACTTTTTCGGGCCAGATCGGGTCGGTCGAGACGGTGGGCAGCGAGTTTAAAGATGTCGGGGTACGATGCCCTATTGTCGATTCCGTGTTGTTTGTCCCGGGTAAGGATAGTCCTGGGGACTGCCGTTCCTCCTCGAAGAAGTGTTTTAATTGTTTATAAATAAATTTTTTGATACTACAATTTTTGTTTTCAAGTCAATTTAATTCAATTGATTTATCCTCTCCATTTTCAGTTTACGATCATTGTTCCGAAAATCTATTGTTTCCTTGAAAAATTGCCTTCCGTCGCACCCTGGAGCGAAGCGGGTTCTGCTCGCTGGCTTCGCCACGTTGCAGTTCCCGCGCTTGCCTCACATTGATCACTGTTTTATGTTAATAACTCGTAAACAAAGCCATGAATTGCATTTTCGCAAAGAAAGAAGTTACTTGAAATGATCGCAGGTACCTCCCATTTCCGGGTGTTAATATAATTATGGAACACCCTATAGATAATTCGAGATATTGATTTGTAACACAGTTGGTAACAAACCCTGTATATTGAATTCCATTTGGACAAATATATGGATTATACATTATATCAATTATAACATGCTATAATTTTAGAAATTGAACTTCCAATGTATATGTTAACATAATAGCACAGCATATTGTGAAGTCACAAAATGGCCGCCACTGAGTATTCTGCCAAATATTACAAATTACTCCACAATAACCTAAAAACTGACATTATGGGACGTTTTGATTTATGACGGAATGACGAAAATTAAGATACGATTATTCGTGCCTTGCGGCTCATATTTATAGTTGCCAACAATTAACAACTATAAAAAAGAGCCACGAAGCTTGAAGAATCGTATCTCTTCTTCCTAAATTGTCCATTTTTGCTTACAAGCTCAAGGATTTGAGAGAATGTATTGTATTTGAAAATGGTTCCTCTTAAAGAAAATATATCCTTGTTAACATCATTATCCATCAATGTGTTAAGTACATTTATTTTATATCCATGCATATATAAGATAGTAGATCAGAATTAATAAATTGTTTCTGTATGGACAACGCGTTTATACAATACATACACATTAATAACAGAAATAAAAAATTATTCAACTTTTAATATTTTTAACATTACTCCTCCCTTGAGTGTCAACAAGAACGATCCGTTTTGAGACTTGAACGGAATCGTCGTCTTCTCGCAGACTTCGACCTTGTGATTACGGAGAATGTAAATAAGTCCAACCTTGCTCTGGAAAGTTGCGAAACCAATTCCTAAAAATATTTCACAAAATGTTCGCACTGTTTTTACGCTCATCGTATTATGATCTATTTCGAACACAATAACAGTTTTCAAAAAATTTGAAAATATTAAAAAATATTAAATCACATATTATAACACTGTGTGTACCATTGATTGTCACTAGACTTACCTATACAATTTCTGGGTCCATAACCAAAAGCCAAGAAGCTCATAGGATGCCTGGTTGAAATATCATTATTGGTAAACCGTTCAGGATCAAATACCTCAGGTTTTGTGTAAATATCGGGATCGTTATGGATTCCATATACTGGTATCCATATCCTCGTGTCTTTAGGGATTGTGATTTTCGTGCCCTTAAAAGTGTAGTTTGCACTAACCCGTCTCATTATTATTGGTATTATCGGATACTTCCTTAGCGTCTCTGTATAAAAGTATATAATTTATTAAAAATTACAGAAGCTCAGAAAAACTCTTTCTTAAATTCAATCATAAATTAACATGATCGCGAAAACTATACCCCTAATTGCTAATTTCATCCAAATTTTATTTAAAAATAAATAGACGGTAATTATGACGTTTACGGGAGGCAACTCGAATGGCCTTCACCTTAAAATATATTTTTCTTATATGTTTTTCACTTTCCCCTATAGCTTGTTACCGTCACTCCAGACCTAATACAAATCTAATCCATGACCACGCCAGACTATTTACCTTAATTCCGTCCGATACTCCTCCGCTCCTACACTTCTCCGCCTCAAAAATCATGATTGTTTGAAATATGATTTTATATCGTTATAGTTAGTACAGTTTATACATAACGAGGTACGTATCTTTTGTGTATATGTGCTAATGTGTGCATGAATGTGAGACCGACATGAGTTTTGGTCAAATAAACGGACGGGATCTTTTAATTTAGAAAACCGATTATGTTTCCATACTCCGTAACAATGTTGATCGCGTATATTAAAAGCGAAGTCTTTTGATAATTCTGTGTTTCACTTTTGCACAGAGGATTATATCGTGTTCTGTTTATTATATAACTACTCTATAGTGAGGAAAATACATGCCTCGAAACACTGCATCCAGATATTTCAATTCCTTGACTTGTTCGTATGTTAAACTTTCACCTTCTCCAGCGTTTTCTCCTAAATTTTCTCGAATCTCCTTACGTAATTTATCCTGTATGTCCTGGTGTAATGCTAGTTCATAAAGTACCTGTCCTATCGTTGACGATGATGTTTCAAATCCTGCTAAGAAGAAGATGAACGCCTGAGAAGCCAGGAACGAGTCCGTCAATTCTGCAATGTGGTACAATCAATAAATTAGTCATTCACTATATACAGCAGTAGACAGAAGATTCAGATGATAAGAAAAAAAATTGGGGGGAAATGCATTGTATTTTCAAATCATCTCCTAAACAACCTCCCACGTATCGCAATCCATCGGAAGATGTACGATTAAACTTCGATTGGTCCTAAAATAAATCAAAATGTCCCAAAATGTCAGTTTTGGGTCATGGTATAATCATGTCTGCATGATTAGAGCACAGCAACTAAATCATACACTTATTTTTTATTTAAATTAAGATCTCAAATTCGTTGTAATAGTGTTATTTGATGAATTCGATTGATTTCGATAACTAGAAAAACGTTAAAATACAATTCAAATGCTTGGAGAAATATGGAAGAAATTAAAGAAAATGCTTTATTCAATAAAAAGCTTGCGAGAGGTTAATTATAGGGCACAATAACTGGTACATCAACTTAGACAACTAGTAGATAACATGTTATGCACTGATTAAAACAACTTACCAATATTTTCCAACTGACTCGGATTCCTCTTCAGCTCCAGAAGCATATTGAGGAAGTCGGGTCTGACCACATTATTTTCTTCTCTGTAATTAATTGTGTCCATAACCACCTTCGTAAAGAAATCAGTCTCCTTTGTCGACCGCATTAAATGACCTAGTCGCGTGTATATGGCCGGGAAGAATTGCCTTATCGTATGTGTAACAGCGAATTTGAAAGACGGGATAAACATCTTTCTGCCCATTCGGCGAAATTCGCTATCCTCGTCCGCGATGGCGTTCATGTCGATTCCAAAGGCATAGGTACCGATCACATCGGTTGTATATTTCGCTGCAATTTCTCGACAATCCACAGGCCCTTCCTTTTCTGTTACGGTGTCCAAGTATTTCTCCAAGTATTCTGCACATTTTACCACCAGAGGGAACATTTCCTTAAGTTTACCAGGCGTGAATACTGGCGAGAGTCTTGCTCTCAGTGGACGCCATATTTCAGGCTCCAAATGAAAGAGATGCTCTTCCAAACGATCCACCTGCAAATACGTTATTCTCGGTTTAATTTTCAATCCCATAAATAATTTTTAAAACAGAAGTAATTGTTGTATATAATAAACAGAAAGAACTGTTTATAATTTTCGATTATTCGAGCCTTGCATTTTTCCCTCGTTTTTATAGGTGTTGACAAATCGGTAACTATAAAAACGAGCCGCAAGGCTCGAATAATCGTTTCTCCGCTTCCCAAATTGTCCATTGTTGTGTGCACTCTGAGCGTCAATTAGGGAGAATTTATTGCAGTTCTCTGGCATGCCTGAAGACGACGTAGTAAGTAAACTTAAAAAGAAAAAAGAATGACTGTAATGCTTTTTTTTAAATTTTGCTATTACTTGGAATGACAATAAAAATAAAAAAATTAACATTTTCTAACTTTTTTATCTGAGCCTATAACGAAAATTTAAAAAACGTATTTTCTAGATCTTAGTATGTTATATTCAAGCTGAAGATTTCATCGAAATCAGTTAATGCAAAGTCAAGTTACAAATGTTAAAAGATTTTAAAAACTGCAGATTTCTCACACCTACTTGTCGGAAGTTCCAAAAATCGAATCAGATTATCGAATCATTCTTTAATTGTTTACTCGGTCATCCCGGAATTACGACGATTCCGCAAACTGAAATCGTAAGCCATTCGTTATAATACGATTCCGTGTCGTAATCTGTATCGCAAATCACAATCGTGATCGTGTTCGCAGTGGTGTTCGTAATCGTAATGGTTGAACATATTCTTGATCGTGTTCGTAAATCGTTCGCGTCGACGTAACATGGCGGGTAATATAGGGTATGTCTCGTAACATGACGACATCAAATATCTCATAAAATATTTGTTGTACGAAAAAATGTTTCAGGTAGAAGTTGCATGGCGTCTAGGATAACATATAGTAGACAAATATAGACACTTTCTCAGTGGAGAAATCGTCACCGTGATATTTAGTTCAAGAAAAACAAGAATTTATCTAATGTCCAATGAACAAATTACAAAGTATTTAGAAGATAAAAGAATTTGTGTTTGGCCAACCCATGTTTGCTTTAAAATTCGAAAAATAGATTTTCATTAAATTCTCCGTTACTGTTCATAAATTGCGCCACATATTTCTGCAACCTCAAAAGCTCTAAAATGCAACAACATTTTAGATGTTTCAATTTGTCAAAATGTACGACATATTTTTCGACAGTAAGTTTTCGTTTCTGATGTTGGTGACGGTTGATTTCGCGTTAGATATTACATTCCAAGTGTCATGTTAATTTTCTGCTGTTCCACTGTGCATATAGATATCAACTTACGCAAGCAAACATATCTGTAAGCATTGTTTATGTTCTTCGATACAGTATTCTATTAACAACACGCTATTTGAATAATGGATTATACGTTCAAAAAGCAGATACTTATGTAATACAAGGCCAACTTAATAGTTGTTCCAATGCGAAAAATTCTTGAATAGATGTTGTGCCATTTTCTACATATTACTAAGTTATCTGATACTGTGACGTTGCCAAACTGGTAGCATCCCCCCATTTATTGTGTAAGGGCTAGGACCGAAACGGCCGCAGGCTGCGTCTCTGCAAACTTCAGTGGGAACGAGCGCTCTTACTAGAACGTCTTTAGAAAAGCATATGTAACCATACTGACTTCATTGAGTGCAACACGAAATTACAGGACCGTACCTTGGGTCGAGGAGGCACAAGAAAGAGAAACCCTTATTCCCCATCAGCGAGGAAGCCACGAACAAGAATGCCGTATCGACCTGAGAATCCGCCCGAAGCTCTCCTCGAGGTGGAACGACCGGGACTATCCTCACCCAGGACAAACAACACGGAGATGATGATAGGAGACTTCATACCCCAACGTGACATCTTTAAACTCGCCGGGTCACCGTCTCGTCTGGTCCGGTCTTGCCCGAAGAGATATCACGAAACCGCAATGGTGGAGAAGCTGCCGTGCGACAGATATTTCCGATCCCGAGGGAGTACAACATCGGATCAAAATCGATAGGGACCTGGAGGCTGCGCCATATGGGCAGGTCCTGGTTACCGCAGGGTGATCGGCATCCACGCCGACGATCATTGCGGGAATCAGTACGCTCGAATATCGCGTCGTGGCCAGGCTTCGGGGCCGAGTACGTTGTATTTTGCGTCCGAGAGCGATTTGTTATCGTCCCGCAGGTTGTCACGTCAACTAGAATATCGGGGTTCGATCTAGGGAATAATATTGCATTCTAAGAGGACCGATTCATCGTGCTCAGGTCGATTCCGATTAGTAGAAAATCGTCGAAGTGGTAAGCCGACCAACCCGGAATTTCTCGCGCGCTGTTGGTTGTGAGATCCACGGGATCACATTAAAGGAATTAATGATCTGTCCACAACTGCACACGGCTGTCTGGATGTTATGCGAGGCCCTTTCTCATCGCGGGAATTTCCTAGCAATCGTCCCGTCGAATTCTGAACATCGCGATCTATTCAGGCATAACGTCGGCCTTCTGGGACATTGCGTTTTTCGCGTTGCTGTAGGAATAATTTCAAGTGACATCGACGGCGATGCCCGATGCCCGAAGGGTAGAATAATGGCATAAACCTTGCGCAGGCTTGCACGACTTTTATCCCGCGCACGACCGCGTGCGGCTCGACTTTTGCCTTCGCAAGACCCAGAGCCGGACGATTCACGCTCTTCGTAAAACGAGCACGGGAAAAATTCGGCATGACAGTACATACATCGCTAGAAAATACTTATACATCTAGTATGTAGTAACAAATTTACTACAGCAGTTTCACATTTAATGAAGAGTTTCATTTAAACGTACTGGCATTCTTCAAACGGTCAAATAATAGAACTGAATTTAAAAATTAATTGTTGTAATGAAGCTTCCTCTTTTTCAGTCATATAATTGATTGAAACGTCAAGCAGTAATATTTACTCATAAATACCTCAGGAAACATGATTAATCCTCGAGATGCGAACAAAGGGAAGTCCTTGATGAGGACATCTTTGACTAGATCGAGATCATTAACAACCAAAATTGGTGCACTGCCTCCGTAGATTCCGAACACTGGCTCGTTTTTGTACTCGTCGTACATTTTCTTTATAACATCGCTCATGGACGATTGTCCCAACGCAATCGATTGAAGATTTCCGAATATTATCGAAGGCCGTGGTCCGGTAATGCCAAGCTTTTTCCAATAGTTGAAGGATGAAGTGAGATAGTAGTAAAGTGCTAGCAGCAACACCAAGGCCCCGCATAATATTTGTAAATAGTTGACCATGGTGGCTCAATTATCTAAAACAAGACAAAAGTTAGAATCGATTATTAATGTTTTCATTATCACATAAGTAATGATGAGTATTACACCAAACTGGAACAACTCATTTCAAAATATAAGAACAGAGGACACAGATTTTATTACAGCAATCACTTCTGCAACTCCTTGTAAACTCTAACAAACTTTGGCTTATATATTATAACGAAATAGTTGTCTATAGTAAAAAATTGTATTTCAAGTTTGATAGAAAATCACTCATGTATCATTCGCATGACAACAAAGTGTTAATACAGTAATTTTTTTCCGATTGTCGCCGTGTCCGAATTGTAAGTATTCAGTCCTAGAATTGAAGTCGTTGTTCTTCGAGCCTCGCGGCTCGCCTTTATAGTTGCCGACACCTTTTGAGAGAGAGAGAGAGAGAAGGAGAGAGAGAAGGGGGAGAGAGAAGGGGGAGAGAGGGGGGAGAGAGAGGGAAAGAGAGGGAAAGAAAGGGAAAGAGAGGGAAAGAAAGAGAGAGAGAGAGAGGGAGAGAAAGAGAGAGAGAAAGTGTGAGAGAGAGAGAGAGAGAACAAAATTTGATGCAACAAAACTACCTGAAGAGGCAACGGCAAGCATATCGGGGTACATTAATACATTATTTCTAATTTTCTATACATGAAATTTTTTTTAACATATTGGTGAAATTCTTTCATTTCATTTGCATTTATTAATAATAAATAATAGCAGGATGTAAATTAGTGAAGGTTAAAATTGTTCATTTCTTCGTTTGTTTTTCTACAATTGTTCGTTCTTCAGATACTCTAACAATTTTTGTATGATGTGTTATACATTGCGACGTCGCGCCTTTTCCGCACGTTATAATACGGTGACAGAGAGGATCCGAGATTCTAAGGCTCTTAGAACGAGCCACGCACGACCATATGAACGCGGTCCAACCCGGCATAAGATGCGATTTCCAGAAATCCGACGCAGAGCACGATACGATGTGCAGGCTCTAGGCATCTTCTCGATGTCAAATATTTACACGCGAGATAGAATAGACACGACCAGAATCTAGAGGTATGGATACGAGAATAATGGAGGGTAAGCTGTATAGCAGAGCGGATCTTGTGGATGAAAGATTGGAGAATAGGCTTTAAATCAATCTTTAATCGGGTCAGAATTTTACAAAGCGGGCGGCCACGTCGCTGCACCACTTGGGCGGCGCTCTTTATACAATTCATTTTTGCGAGAGATGTTCGCTCACGGCGCAAAGCTATAAGAATTCTCGAGATTGCGACGGTGCGGTAATAAGGTACTTTAACAGCAATCATTACAACGTTTCGTGGTTGACGACGTCATCATCGTCGTCGACGTCAGACGATAGGTCGCAAAACGCAGGTGATCGGCATAATAACAATGGGACTGTTGAGCTCGTTATCGAAGCAAAATATCGTGTTTAGCATCCGATTATGCAAAACGCTTGATAGCATGATAGCGGTCGATGGCTCAATCGCCAACGTGACAAGAATTCCCGAGATCTTCGAAACTTATCAGAATTACACCGTTTGCGAAACGGACCGGAATCTTTGAACTGATCTACAACAAAAATCTACAAAATTGGTGGTAACTAATCTTCTTGCCGCGTGGGGACAGAACTGTAGAACGAGATGAGGAGACCTGCGCGTAGGGTTCTTATAGTAGAATTTGCGTAGAATTTGCTGGTTAGCTCAATGAAACTAGTTGTAGATGCAATTTAGTATAAATAAAAAAAAAATAAATTACTCGCACATTCCCCACACAAAATCCCTATTTGCAGAAGACTGGCACGATGACCGACAGTGTTTCATTTTCCTACGAGCGAATTTTAACTGTTTCCCATCGAACGCGAACATTGTCAACCATCGTGCCAATATTCTGCAGTTCGTCCCGTCAACGCGATACGTGTTCTTAACGATGAGAACTTCGAACGCGTCGCTTTAAAAAATCGGCTCTTTTCAGGGCCATGCATATTAACCCAGGAAAGTCCGTCCGTAAATATTGTTGATAAGAGATCAGTGTTTAGTGATAATGCAATGAAAATGAACGATGGAATAGCCTGCCCTGAGCAATTCATCATACATTGTACGAGGTCAATGCACTATCCTCCTGCACACATTTCCGTGCTTGAAGTGGATTTACAATTAAATGGACGAGTTTCTTATTGATAATATTCTTCATATTGCTGTAACAAACAAATCCCTTACGTTCTTTAACACGATTATTATTTATTAAATTAGCTTTGCGAATCATTCGTCGAACTCTGTTCGGACACGGAATTATTTAAATTAAAATATCATTTACGTACTTTGTTAATCTTCACTGTACACCTTGCTTAAAATTTTCATATGGTACACACGAGGTGTCATGCACACCAGAAAATTAAACCGGCTGTCACGGTTAAATTACTTATTATTTCGGGTTCGAAAAATTAGTAAATATTCTTCAGACATTCTGAATTAAGGATGAATAGCGTTTTTCGTAAAATTATCACTGTTACGTAGTAAAAAAGATTCGGAAGTTCACGCTCTGTGACTTGTTCATTGATTCAAACGCGGCTCGAGGCCTCCCTCCTTCCGTCACGCTCCGCGATCGAAGCATGTTGCACTCGATCGATCGACCACTTTGTAATTCCCGCGTTCGCCTCTCATTGGTCTCTGTTTTTCGTTAATAACTCGTAAACAATGCCGCGGATTGCATTTTCGCAAAGGAAGAAGTTACTTCAAATGACCTCAGCTACCCCCAATTTTGGGTTGTTAAAATAATCGTGGAACACCCTTCCGCTGAAAGAGGAAGGGTATATATTTCTCCCATTTCAAAAGGGAGCTGCCAAATTGTCTATCTTACATTAAATGAACATAATATTTTTTGTTTTTTTTTTCATTTTGTGTTATACATACATCTATATTTTTAATGGAATCTTTAACGCTCAGACAATTTATAATTGGATTACTAAAGAAGTAAACAATTTGAAATGCATTTATGGGCGGCTGGAAAGACGGAGGAAAATAAAAGGACAGTGTTTCATCCTGGTCCAGCTAGAGGACTCATCAGTAATGCTTGCCTCACCTTAGATGCGGGGATATCGCTGCTGGCGAGCGCTGAGGTAGACGCCACACATTTTAACCTAAATTTCAGTTAATAATATAACGATGAACAAAAAATTATCCTTAATGTATCGTTAATTGGGACCCTTGCACTATTAGCTTTTATTATATTTTTTAACCTATTCGTACAAAATTTGACGGATTTTGACAGCTACGTTGTAGCACGCTTGGTAATAACTACAAAATAATATAAAATAAATGTTATTTAAAATTTGGGATAGGATAGTAATTTTTCGTCTTTCAACGCAAATATGCATACCTGTGAATTGCAAAACATTATACCAGAATACATTTAAGAGCACAAAAGTACTTAACAATATTATAAGTAAAGTAGCAACAAAATTATTTAACACGTTCCGTGCCGAGCTTTTTTTACTCGAATCTTCACACTTTGATATTTTACTAAAACTTGATGTATTACGTGCAATTATTAATTCTCGTACACATAACAACGTAACAAAAACTTATCAACGCCCATTCTTGCGGTGGAAATTGATTCTTCGGTTCTAAATTTCTTGTAAACAATTTGTTCAGTTCACTAAGTAAACATGCAAGCGTGTACCATCGATGGTACACCTGTCTCTTATACACATCTAGATGTGTATAAGAGACAGCTTCACACTTTGATATTTTACTAAAACTTGATGTATTACGTGCAATTATTAATTCTCGTACACATAACAACGTAACAAAAACTTATCAACGCCCATTCTTGCGGTGGAAATTGATTCTTCGGTTCTAAATTTCTTGTAAACAATTTGTTCAGTTCACTAAGTAAACATGCAAGCGTGTACCATCGATGGTACACCTGTCTCTTATACACATCTAGATGTGTATAAGAGACAGCTTCACACTTTGATATTTTACTAAAACTTGATGTATTACGTGCAATTATTAATTCTCGTACACATAACAACGTAACAAAAACTTATCAACGCCCATTCTTGCGGTGGAAATTGATTCTTCGGTTCTAAATTTCTTGTAAACAATTTGTTCAGTTCACTAAGTAAACATGCAAGCGTGTACCATCGATGGTACACGTGGCACGGAACGTGTTAAACTTTGATACGATTTTTTAAGAGAACATATAATTAGTAATCCATGCTTTCATTTACAGAGTTGGTCGTCAACAACCACCATGACGAGAACGCAGAATCAATGTTTACAATGACATTGCAATGATTACATTGAAGATATTATCACATTCGTTGAAAATAATGTCTGTAAGTTTGCAATGAAAAAACCGATACTGATACTTTTGAAACTGATATAAAAGTACTAAAATTTTAAGTCTTACAAGTAGATATCAGGATTTGCTGATTAATTGTAAGACCTTGTCACTGTAAGACACGAGACTGCTTCTATCCCGATGCGTGTGTGATGCATACCAACCGATCATGTAATTCAATGGAAGCATTCAGACGGCGATACAATACCACGATACTTTATCTCCTGTTAAACGCTGTATCGCATACGCGTATGGTGACGCACGCACGTATCCTCATGTGAAATGGCTCCGAGGGTACAATGAATAGTCATTGCAGTTATAATTATATGGGTATCATCCAAAATAGTCTTTTGAGGTGTGGTAGCAACCTCCAAACCCGCCAGCAGATAGACTCTCCTTTCCCGCAAGTGACTGATCCGCCTCAATTTGTAAACTTCGTCCGTCCTTCCGACATCGCAACGTCTAAAGCAGGGCCCGCTAGGGAAGCCTTACTGATGAGCCTTCTAGTGGGTCCCACACGAAACGCTCTCCTCTGCTTTTTCCCCCAAAACCTCCGTCATTTCAGAGCCTCCAAAGAGGTTTGACCAGCCTCCAAAAGCTGGTTCCAATTTAAATGGATCAGCCTTTGCATTGTTTCCGATTATTTAACACTTGAACGACGGCCCTTTTCGACCAAAATGTAACTGAGTATGCTTCGGATCATTTATAAATTTATTTAGCAATTTTTTCGACATACGTGTTAAGGTATTTTTTCTGCACACATTAGTTCCCCTATTGACTTTATTTATTAGTTCCCCTATTTGCGAAAACTTTAACGAACACATTCGATGTATGGTAAAAATCACAATATTCCTCTCGAGACCCTTGGCACGCTTAAAGGGGTCTGACCACTTTGAAATTTTGAATAAATCGAATTCATTTCTTTTTGTCTGAAATAGTAATTTGAAGTATTCAAAATAAATTGCAAAAGGTTCCAATCTTTGAAACAAATTATTTTTAGAAATAAAAAGCCTGTAGCCGATTCGTATACCTGTGTGTCGTAGCGTTAAACGTATGATAAATTACGTTCGGATATTTAAAGCGCGTGTTTCTCGAAACTGTGTTCTTAAAAGCGGTATGCAAGATATCTCGAGATCTAATCAACCGATTACTTTGGAATATCGTAGTTACTTGTACCATAATGTATGCTAGGGATTGACGACCGATTTCTTTTTAACTTCCGCTTCGGAAAATGTAAACAAAAAACGTACAAACTTTTTGTACAAATACGACAGATCAAATACAAACAGCTGCCATTTGGACGAAAATCCTGTTTAAAAAAGGATTTCTGAGCGATGCTGTTGGAGGGTCCATTTATACTCACCGACGAGCCGAGCATGAGCCGAGTGGATTGATAGTGTAAAATTTCGTTATACATACTGGTATGAATTTGCATGTTCAGAAGAAAATAATAAAACACTATCAATCCGCTGGATTCGTCGGTGAATATAAATGGTCCTTAAAACCTAAATAAACAGCATTTAAAACAAAATTAACACTATTTTCTTATAGTTCGGCACATGAATATAAGATAAGCCGTAAAAATTTATATCGAACAAACGTTGGCTTCTCTTCTACTGTTGTTTTAAAATATAAGTAATTTTTGGTCGCGTCAAAGTGATCTTAACCTCTTCATTTCATTACACGAAGTTATCGCTATATCAAATTATCACTTATCATTTATCAGATGCACGAGGGTTTTCTATTATATCGCGACAAACAGTATAGTAAATTATCTTCGATTGTTCCTCAGCTTGTTAACAATAATGGATAATTTAAGAGGAGGAGATACGATTATTCGAGCCTCGCGGCTCGTTTTAATAGTCGTCGATTGTCAACATCTATAATTGATTGTCCATTATTGTTTACTAGCTCAAGGACAATTGGAAAAAATTTACTGTACAGATACAAGCATCTTCGCACATCTAAATTGCTTTCGTAATCGTCGTGATATAATAGAAAGCGCTATTGTCTGGATAGACATCATTAATTGTACTATAAATGCCTGAATCACAAGCGTCACGGTTTATGCATCAGTTGAATAAATATTTATGTAACTGTAGGTGCTAGACATTGCACTTATCGATGGGGTGGGTATGTACGTACCCCAGACGCACGTACCCCAGACCCACACTTATAGTGCTAGACATTTTTTATCTTCTTCCTAAAATAGTTTTCGTGATACGACAATCTAAGTAAAGTCTGAGGCAAAAATGAGCTAGATACGACGTACATTAGTTATCATCGTGACTCGTCAGTTTCTGATATGGGTATTCGAGGATTTATATAATATCTCGAGATGCAGAACATCCAGGCAAATGTAACAAGATCGTGACCAATGAATTGTGTTCGCACCGCTCAGTAGAACTAAAAACTGGAAGTTAGAGTTCCAACCTTCGTGATAGACTTCACAGTGTATGCACAATTCTTCGTTCAGGTATTTAACAGATTCTTTTTCTCAGTAATTTGTTGTCTTTGAAACGATAAACAACCAGTGAAGTTATGAATATAAACAACAACAAGTAATTATTGAAATTTCGAATTAAAATTAACAACAAGTAACCATTGAAATTAACGATTAAAGTAACAACAAGTAACCATTGAAATAAAGAATTAGAATGACAAGTAATAATTGAAATTATGAATTCTAATAATAACAATTAATCGTTGAAATTACGAAATGAACTAACAACAATTAACCACTGAAATTCGATGTTTTTTATATTTTTTTAATTATGTAGGCAACGAAAGTTTCTTGTATTTTTTAACAGTTATATCTTCTATCTTAATATACCATAAAGTATTTTTTCTGTTCAATGTATATTTATTTAAATATATGACATAGAAGTCAAAGTTATACTATTGTTCGAATACTTTCGTGTGTGAGTGTATGTTACCGATCTGCGGTGTGTATGAGTGTGTGTGTGTCCATAATTTTGAATGATGCTCCACTGATAAGAAGCGGTGATAATACGTAATTCCCAAAATATTTTAAATTCAGTTAGTTTAAGTTTAAAAATTATGCGCTTCAAACAAAAGTGCACAGTGTTTCGAATTTCAATTATAGTGACGTTGATCAGTTTAGTGATTTTTTGAACGTCGTTAATTAGCAATACTGATTGTGAGTGAACTAGATATTTTCTAGCAAAAATAAGGAAAAAAATTCTATTAGTTATGAGGTTACATGTGTTATGCATCTAATAACATCCAAGATGTATTGTATATTTACTTTTTCATGATAAAATTCAAGAAATATCTCGCCCTGTGTAATGCGAACTCAGCAGTGTTAGCAATGAAACACATACGGACATGTTACATAAACACCGCTACACTGATTAGTGGAGATCTGAATAAACATCTTCCCAAATATATTGTACAAATGATTTTTGTTTAAATATCTGTAAAAATGTAAAAATTACTTTGAGTTTATAATTATTCACAGCACTGTAGGTGATCATTTTAACTGAATCATCTTTTGTATATTTAAAAAAAAACTTAACAAAATATCATATTCATATATTTCTATATCAGAAATAATAGAAAATATACAAATATAATATTTTGTTAAGTTTTCGTTTAGACATCATTAACAATGCGAAAGTTACTTTGAATTTATAATTATGGACACTACTGTATTTTAGTTATAAGAATTCAGCGTTACAACTAGCTTAACCAGATAAACGTTGAGATAATCTATGTAATTGGACACAGTTTACAGCAGGAAAAGCTTAATAGTATTATAGAACCAGATGACGTAGAGGACTGTGACTGTGACCGAGTTCGTTTAGTTTTAAATAAAATGTGTAACGCTGTTGGATGCAGGCTTCGTTAGGGTATAAGAAGTATGTGTTTGAGTCGCACATAAGACAAAACTAAAAAAATCATAGTGTAAGTTCTAAGTAAGTAGTGTATTACGAAATATTAATGACGCAATGTAGATTTTGCAAAGTACACCAATTTAATGATGCAAGAAATCAATGCATTTCTGCAATCACGTGCTATTGGCAGAATATTTATTACTTTAATCTGGTTTCAATTCAGTACTGTAGAACTCTTTCAAAACGGCTAAATGATTTTATGTTACGAGACTCGCCCTGTACATAAATTATAACTCGAGTGGTGATGGTACAGGAATTGGAAGGATTAGTATGGTAAGTTGAGGGTTTTGAAGGTATGGCAAGGCAAAGATACGGATATGATGCGGCAAGGACAGAGGTCGAGGTTGAGATAGAGTTTGAGGATAAGGTCAAATGTGAAATCGTGACTTGCAGAAGGTTTTGTAATATTCGATATGAAGATTATGGAATGACGTTGGTATACAATATAACATTAACGATAATAACAGTAATAATAATAACATTATCAATAATGATTATGATAATAATAATAATAAATCTAATTAGAACGAATATAAAAATAATAAGAATAATAAATCTAATTAGAGAACTGAGGTAGTGGAGTAAAATTTAACAGTTATCAATCTTTTCACTGCAAAATTGTTTGAGTAAATATTTTTTACTCAATAGGCTAAAAACGATTATTATTATTTATGCACTACTCATTATGAAAGAAACTATTTTAATAGGCTTTTGGAGTCGTAGATTCCATTATAAAGAATTTTGATATGTTGCATTATGTAACAGTATAGTTAATAGTGAATTGATATT